AAGGTGGAACATTCTCTGTTACTTCGAGTAAACATACACATAAATGCGTTGGAAAAATAAAAAATACGTAGGAATAATAAAATGAGCTTTAACCAGGTTTATCTAGTAAATTAGTTAGCTAACTAAAACTTATGGCATTTGTATATTTAGACGAATTTAATCGAAACGTACCGTGTAGCGACACATCTATTCGGTTCATATCGTTCAACGATAAATTTCATGGTCGTATAATAAAATAAAGAAGGAGTGGGATGTTTTTATATGTAATGTATGTATGTGTGTGTGTGTGTATGAGAGAAAGAGAGAGATAGAAGAGACAAACGATCTCATTACGGAAGCTCTTTAAATAATATACGACGGGTACGTGTGTATACATGAATGAAATAGAAAAAAGGAAAGAGAAAGAGAGAGAGAGGGAAACTTATAGGCCAACGAATATTCGGTTGGAACGCGTAATAAGCGATAGCGGGTCTTCGAAGAAGTTCCGGCTAAACATTTACACTGTTCAGTGTTAAACCTAGTCAGTTTATTTTCATCATTCGAAAGAAACTCGTAAGCTGTCCGGTTGCGACGTTTACATCCCTGAAAAGCAATGTGCGTCTCTAAGCACATGTACACGAGGTTTCTCTTACATACTACGTATGATGATATCTTTTAATAACAATCCACACATTTTTTTTCTTCTTTCTTTTTCCGTGAATATCTTTTTCCGCTCTTTTTCTACAAAATAAAATAATATTATTTCTACGAAATATCAAGAGATTATTTTTAATCAATCGAACGAAATCTCTTTTTGTAGAAATCTAATAATCTTTTTCAATACCCTCTAGTAGAGTACAAAATATTGAAAAATATTGAATACACACATGTGTATATATTTAATATTAAATTAAATATTAAATAATATAAATATAAAATAATAAAATTAAATAAAATTTAAATACAAAATAAATATTAAATAATAAATTTAATATTAAAAAGAAATTCAAAGTCTCTGTCATGTATTCAATATTTGGGGTAATTTCGAAAAGCATCAAAAGTTGCTAACTTTGTTCTGTATAAATCATTCCCTTCTATTAATAATTAATTAATTTTTGTTGTTGTAATTTTTATTTTTCAAAGAATTGTAGTTATTGTTCCTATATCGTTGATCGTGATCACTAGGCGTAGACGAAAATCGATATTAAAATACGAGAATCGAATACTAACTCGATACGATACTTCACGCTCGAAAAAATAGATGCCGAATGCACGCAAAGGTAGTAGATATCTAGTGATTATTATTATTCTAGATTCTTGTTGAAAGCGGATTCGCGTTTTGATCCGCGGTATCGCGTAATTCATTATACATATATATACATCCATACATACATAGATAAACACATACCCACGTTATATACATAATGCAACGCACGGGGTAGTAAGTATAAAGTAAAGTAAAGTAAATAAATAAGTAAAATGCATACGCATAAATAAATACATTAATACAATTATAGTCAACGAGTAGACTCCATAGTTTTATAGTTTTTATTTTTTTTTTTTTTTATATTTCCATATCGTCATCATATATTATAATTTCTCTTTCTCTCTCTCTCTCTCTTTTCTATAATATTTCTTAATAGATTTTTATTGTCGTTTAACGATCACTTATAGATTAGATTTAGTCGATGATATTTCCTTCTTCTTTTTGCATGGAAAACTCACCGTGTCTCCACAAGTCTGACATTCTTATTAAAGTGAATCACTTCCGCTAACACCGACGACTCTCGTTTATCCAGTCGTCTCGTTTTTTCTTTTTTTTTTTGTTTTTTTTTTTTTCACTTTAAATGATGATAGAGAAAGAGAGAAATAGAAAGAAAGATAGAATAAGAGATATAATAATATACGAGCGAGAAATGTCTCGTTACTTCCTACGCCGTAACCATAATTGGTCATTGTCTTGCGATCGACAAGGATGAGACAAGAAACGTCTTTGAGGAAAATCTTTTATCTTATGAAGAATAAAATGAAGAGAAAGAAGAAGAATAAGAATAAGAAGAAAAAAAGGCGGGACTTACGAACGTGCCGAGAGGATCGTGAAATTCCTCTTTTCTCTCTTTCTTTCTTTTTTTTTTCTTCTCTTTTTTTCTCTCTCTCTCTCTCTCTCTCTCTTTCTATCAACGACGGCGCGAAAGAGGCGGAGGACGCGCATGGAATCCAAACGACCTTGCGCCCGTTACACGAAAAGAAAGCAAAAGGAAAGGGCACGAGGCTGTACTCTCCTCCTCCTCCTCTTCCTCCTCCTACTCCTCCTTCTCCTCCTTCTTCTTCTTCTTCTTTTTCTTTTTCTCGATACATCGACCCCCTCGTAACCTCTTTACTACTATACGAATATCCGTTTAATGTAATCACGTGCGATAGATAGACACACAAGCATACTTATGTATATGTATATCTATATAAATATTCTTATCCTCGTGGATTTCTCATTATATATACATTAGGAGTTAGTTTCCATAAGTTAAGTATATAAGCTAAACATATGTAGTTTTTTACGAGTTCTCAACGGACGAAAGCAACGCAAGTGCGAATTGTTTAAATTGAAATTTATTTAAAAATGAAATCTTGTATATTGATATTAGATGATTAATATATGTAATATTAATTGCGGCGCGGTGATATTTGAAACTTTGATACTCTAATGAGAGACCACTTCTCTCTCTCTCTCTCTCTCTATCTCTCTTTCTCTTTCTCTATCTCTTTCTTTGCGGTTCATACATAAGTTATAAAAGATGCATAGAGATAACCGGCAGCGCGAACTTTCTATTAATACCGTGTTAGTTCTACAGTGTAACTATCGAAGCAACAAGGTCGTCACGGTTTAATTGAGTGAACGCGCTTGCATCTCGCATCTCGTGGCATGAACTTGAGATATATGCGATCGATCGGTATCGCGTTCCTAGATAGCAACTCGATCTCTCAACTTCTCTATTTATGTATGTATATGTATGTAATATTTGTGTAATACTTGAACACATTACACATACATCTATGCATAAATAGAAAAGTGAAAGAGAAAGAGAAACTATACATTTATCTTACTCAAACATTTCAAAGAATTCGACACTTAAGATTTCGTAATGTAGTTTGAAGTGCATTTTTATTGCATGAATTAAAATGAAATGTTTTTAATTGTTCTGTTTATGCGTCTTTTTAGGTGTCGCATCTTGTTGAACGAATACAACAACAGGGCACTACGTCGTTTCACGTCCATTTTCATACTCTTCATTCTCCTCCTCCTTCTTCAAGTCATCGTTGGGCACCTCCTCCTACTCCTCATCTTCTGTACATAGCATATAATAAAGTTTTTCTTCATCTACATAGCTCCAAGCAGCAACAGCAGCAGCAGCAGCTATGCCGTCCTTCGTGGAGGAGAGTGCTGGGACTTGCTTTACCTCTTCCTCCTCCTCCTCCTCCTCCTCCTCTGCGCTTGGATCAGCCCCACTCCGAATGTAAAAGCACCACTAAGATCGCCTGGAACTACTTGTCGTTTGCGGTGGAACCGAATGGAACGAAACGGAACAGAAAATAACAGAAGAGAACATATCAGAATAGAACAGAACAGAACAGAACATAACAGAACAGAACAGAACAGAACAGAACAGAAAAGAACGGAACAGGAACGGAACTTTAAACGCAGCTGCTCACGCAGCTGACGGGGAATCATTTGACTTAACTACTGCCCTTTGCCCCGGTCTCTCGCCTTTTTTTTTATTATTATATTCATCATCTGTTTTTTCTTCTTTTTATAATTTTCTGATTTCATCTCTCAATCACGAAGAAATTAGTAAGGGAAAGGGAAGAGAGATTGAATGATTCTTCGTTAGGTGAGTTAGAATTTGTCGCGCGGGAATCGCCATTTTGGTGTGCGATCGTCTTTTATTTGATTTTTTAAATAAGACCGCCCGGTTTAAAATATCGAAACAACGGTGCGTAATCTGAAAGATTTATTATTATAAATCATGGGAGAGATTATCTTTCAATAATTTCTTTAATATATATACATTATTAATAACAATAAATTATTCTTATCGTTTAATTAAATATGACATTGCCGTACTAATTCATTTTTATTCTCTCAACAGAGTCAAGTTAGCAATTAGCAAAGAGAGCAGTAGATTCCTGTACCGGATTACTTGCTTGCTTGGTTACCCCTACTGTTAACCACCCACGATCGTTGAAAACAAAACGCTAACGAGCATCACAACTCGGAAACGGAGAGTTGGGAGAAGAAGCAAAACGGAAGGGAGGAGAAGCACCTGTTGCTCTTGCGCCTTCGTTTCTAGGAAAAAGACTCTTTCGGTTTGCTCTTCCTCTTCTACTTCTACTTCTACTTCTTCTTCTTCGTCCTGTTCTTCTTCTTCTTCTTCTTTTTGTCTTCCCTTTGTGCCGCAAGCTTGGTAAAAGAGACGCGGAGGAACGCGTCTTCGGTAGCAAGCGCACTCGCTCGTTCCTTCTCTTAGCCGCGAGTTATCCGGTAAACTTGCGTTGGAGGGGTGCAGGAGGGCAAAGAAGGGGTCGTCGAAGCCTTCCGCCTCTCTCCCTTCTACTTCTCGGCCTTCCTCGGCCTCTCCCAGGCTCTCTCTCTCTTTTTTATTCTTTCTCTATCACTCTCTTTCTCAACATGTTTCAGTCATTCCGTCCCTGTTTCTCTCATTAATTTTCTGTTTCTTTTTCTGTCTCTTTCATTAGTTCGATCTCTTTCCAACTTATCCCTCTTGCTCATTTTCTTCTTCTACCTTCTCTCTCTCTTTCTGTATGTGTGTTTGTGTGTGTTATTCCCACTCGACCACTTTGCCATTCCACTTCCCGAGAGTCCGGCGCGCGCACGCGCGACTCTTCCCAGACGCACGCTTCGAAAGTACGGTGTTATGCGGCGAAGAGGACCGATGTCAGTTTCGTGCCTCCACGAGTCCGAAGTGGAGAAAGAGCGAGCAAGCAAGAAAAGAGAGAGAGAGAAACAAGAAGAAGAAGAAGAACTAGTAGAAGAAGAAGAAGACGAAGAAGAAGAAGAAGAAAGAGAGGAACGCGTTCACCGAAATGTCGTCTCATCCTCGCGAGTACACACTTATTACCCACGTTATTCTATCACTTGTCGTCGAAGATCAACCTCGTCGTTGTTCCTCGTTTATGCTTGAAAGTCGATAAAATAAATCATTTTCTTCTAAAGAGAGAACAAAATTTCAAACTAAAACTCGCGCGCTTGAGATCTATCGATCATCGAAGAAGAGTGTTTCTCTCTCTCTTTATCTCTCTTTCTTTTTCCTTTTTCTTTCCTTTTTTATATTTCTTACTATTCTATAGTTCTACTCGTTGCTTATGCATTTATGATCTTTTGAAAGATATATCTTTGGTTCAGATCTATACGCGCTGAATCTTATAGCAAAATTGTGCGCGCGTAACTCGTGTGTGTGTATATATATATATATATATATATATGTGTGTTTTGTATTCCTTATTCAATTCTGTATCATTGATTTTTATCCTTTCTTCTTTTCTTCTTCTTCTTCTATTCTTTATATTTCTTCTTGTCAAAGAAGAAAATGACGGAAGTGCGTAATAGAAAGGAAATGTATGTAAATGTTAATCGCGGTGTGTCGTATTCGCGAGTTATTTATCGTGTATTTCTACGGGTGGACAAGTTTTAGGATAACTCGCGGGAAATCTTGTAACAATAAGTGATAAGGAAACGAAACTAATCTCTTCATCGAAACGACGAGGTACTTATTATCACTTATAATTCTTTCATCGAATCATTTTCTCTCTTTCTAATTCTCTCACTGTGTCTTTCTATTTAATCAAACGTTCTTTCGAAAGATCACAATTTAATGCGTCTATAACACGTTTGTTGTTTCTTTTTTTTTCTCTCTCTCTTCTTTTTTTTCTCATTTCTTCGATCGAGCGCATTGTCCGATAAAGAAATAAATCATTTGTTGGTATGCGAGAACTGACAATCAGAATCACCGATGACGTTCGGCGAATGGCACTTTCGCACCTAACTGTAAATTATATAGATATCTATATGTGCACTTTATTTACATATACATATTTATATATGTATATATATACTTCAACTATAATATATATATAAATATTGTTAAGAGTTATGTCCATTACATGAGTAGATTTTATGATCGTTTGAAAAAGAAAAACAAAAAAAGAAAAAAAATTGACATTCATGATACTTCACTGACTATAAAACGCAACGCTTAGAAAATATTAGCATTTTAATCGACTCGTTCAGATCATTTTCATCGAACTTTACACCTCGTTTATTGTTTACCACGAAGTTATAAACTTATAAGAAAATTTTACATTATATATTCTTCCCACTTTACGACGTATGTAATATATTATATTACACAAAATTATCCGAGCATTAAATCAAAACAAGAAAATGGAATATTTGCACTTTTAACAATGTATTTCCATCGTTTGGTTCATCGACCCAACGATATTTGATTTAAATCGCGTGTTACATGCGATCCCGCGCGTTTTATTCGATCGTATTTGACGTACGGAGACCGACCGTCTCCTTCTCTTGATCGATTCATCGATCGATCGATCGCTCAATCCTCGGTCAATAATATCCATTACATTTAATAAACTCGCGTATCTTTAAGTGAGATATGGTATTTATATTCGATAAAACAAATAGAAAATTATATTAACTGTTGTATGAAATTCTGATTATATTTATTTAGTATGATTATTACATTTTATCATGTTAATTTATGTTAATCTCAAAACAAATAGAAAGTTATATTTACAACAGTTTAGAATTGTCGATCAATACATTTTATATAATAATTCTAAACGATTGTATTAATTTACATATGGTTCCTTTTTATAAATACGCGACAAATCAAATGAAATTGGTAACATCTGTTAGATACTACTATTATCATTTTAAATGATTTGAAAACAATCTCATCTCAAGGATGATTAGATTTCATTATTTAATTCGTTTGAAATAGTTTAACGAATTTTTTTCGAAAGAAATCGGTTATACGATAACCGGACCGATCTTTTCTCTCTCTCACTCTCTCTCTCTCTCTCTCATCTAATCGTTTTATTATACTGGCAGACAACGGATTAAAAAGAACTCGTAAGGTCGAATTCTGACTCGTTCGGTGAACCTCTGGACTGACTCACACCGGCAGATGCATTCTTATGCGATGCGAAACGATCGAAAGTATTATTCTTTGCTCTTAAATCGGAGATAAGACGAGTTAGTCGTCTGGTCTGTTTCTTTTTCTCTTTCATTCGTTAACACATACTTCATATAAAACATCCTTGTCTGTTCGTCCATTAAAATTTTAAGTTGGTGGAGATGTAATTTGGTCGAGGAAAACAAAACACCCGGTTAGGGGGCTTCAAATTCGCTTGGACAAGTCGTCCTCTATTCTTTTCTCTTTCGTTTTAACAGGTCATTCAGAAAAAGATGGAAAAAAAATGAAAGAGAAAGAGATAAAAAGAAACACACACACACATTTTTATGTATGTATGTATGTGAAGAGTATGTATGAGATTGTCGTAGAAATTTCGCCCACACTCGTGCCACTTTTTTTCTCTTTTCTCTTCTCTTCTCTTCTCTTCTATCTCCTCTCTTTTCTTCAACGCACTTTTTCCTCTCCTCACTTCTCCGTGGAAACCTTAGAAAATTGCTAACGCGCGAAAAATTCAAGGAGCAGCGGCATTGTCATGCGAATAACGAGAACGCGAACGTGGTCGGACATTTATATAGAGAAACGCATTGGAAAAATTCCGCGCATCAATAAGCGTTAGAGAACACGATATATGTAATACTATAATAACGCGATCGATAAAATAAATTATCGATACGATCGTTTTCAATCGGAATAAAAAGAAAAACATATTGCGAATAATATATCTTGGTTTTTTTCTTTCTTTTTTTCTTTCTTCTTTTTTTTTCCTTTTTAAAAAAGGAGAGTGCGTGTGACAGAGACAAATTAAATTATTGGATTGGTCAACTAGTAATGTAAGAATTTTTATTAGTTCGTATATAAATTTTAATAAGAACTTTAAATAAGATTTTTCTTTCGTTTTATTTATTTAAAATGCGTTTACTATTTTATATCTAAATGAATGACATGGGTTTCCCCGGGCCCCCCTCGCCCCTTCCATTAACATATAACTCTAATAACATTTCATTTTCCAATCGAATATTAAAATGATCATTAAACTTTGATCATTTCTACGCATGTGCATTTATTAATTAGTATAAATAATACTTCCTATTTTGCTCAATGCGTATATTGAAATGATGTTTTTATTTTCTTTTTTTTTTTCTAACGATTATCTGTTGAATTGACAGCTTAGAAATTTCATGGAAAATCCATAAAAATGTGAAACTAGTCGAACATTTAATTATTTTAATATTGAAAGTTTGTTTTTTCTTTTGCTTGCTTGCTTGCTTGCTTGCTTGCTTATAGTACAGATTAGTAGTTGTTAAATATATTTTCCAATTTTTAGTTAAATTAACATAAATGACTCGGATAAACGATGAAATCGTATAAGTAGATTCGATAAAGATCAAAACGCATGGTCGATAATGGCATTGCATTAGATTACTTTATAACGTGTACGATTGCTTAAGTACCATTTATGTTGTCTCTCGGTTGATAATTGCTATCGTACGAGCTACGATTACAGCTAAAAGGGGGAAGGGAAGAGGACTAGGAAAAGGAGGAATGAGAAGAAGGGAAGGGGTCTGTAAAGGATACCAATATACTGGGATATCTAATTCATTATTACAAGTTTTGCATCAGTGGTGTGCGTTTAGTTTATAGGAAATCATTTGAAATGGGCGCGTGCCGATTTTCTATTAAAGTATGTATTATGTATATAAAAAAAATAAAAAAACGAAGAAGAAGAAGAAGAAGAAGGAAAAAACAGGAAAAAAAGAACAAGAAAAATATAGGAAACAGATAAATCAAAAGAAAAAGAAAAAAAAAGAAAAAACAAACAAATCGTACCGTTAATCGCTAGAATTACAACGTTCTCGACTAATCTCTTAACGAGGGGGAATATTCGATTATTACCTTCCATCTATTACATGAATTATATTCTCGTCTTTCTAGAAGTTTTTTTTCTTTTTTTTTTTTTTCTTCCAGTTTCTTTCTTTACTTTTCATTAATTCGTTCCTTCTTTTTTTTTTTTCTTAGAAAAATAGTTTTTCTTTTTATTTGGTTGTTGCTGTTATTATCGTTGTTTGTTATTGCGCAGGATATTAATTTTTTTTTTTTGATGTTTGTTTAATTAAATTCACATTCTTTTTTTATTTCCTGGTTTGGTACCTTATTTGGTTTGATTGATCGATCGGTATAGGATCGGTTGTTGGAAAATTCTTGTTAATACTCGTGTTAGATAATCATAGAGTGTCGTCTTCTTACGCACGCATATATATAAATATATGTGTGTGTGTGTGTGTGTGGTCATGTTGAAAATACGCAAAGAAGTCTAAGAAACGCGCGAATCGCTAAGAATTCGTCTTAAATTCAAACCGTGCAATGCTTCTTCTTCTTTTTCTTCTTCAGAGGAGGAGGAAAAGAAAAAGAAGGAGGAGGAGGAAGAGAAGAGCCAACGATCTCGACTTTCACAAAATGGTTTGTTTCACTGGCGTAGGGAAAACGTTTCTTCCTGACGAGATTATTATTCCATACTTTGTCTTTTTCTTCCTCAAATTCTTTCACCGATAAATTCTTTCTTTTATCGAACCAATTAACTTCACAAATTCTTTCTTTATCTGAAAAATTATCTTTACCCTTAATTCCTTTTAGTCCTTCTCTATCTTTTCCTTTTTAATCTCACTCGTTAATTTCCTTTCTCTCTCTCCCTTTCTTCTTTTTATTATTTATTTATCTTTTCAGTTACTTTTTTCTTTCTCTTTCACTTCATTTCTCTCCCTATGTTTGATCTAATTCCACTCATTTATTCTTCCCTTCTCCCTTTTTTTTTTTTTATTTATTTCTCTTCTCTCATTATTCCTTTCCATTTCTCCTCGTCTTTCTTTTACTCATAAACTTATTGTTTCTTTTTTCACTCATTAATTTCTTCTCTCTCTTTCTCTTTGTAACTATACTCTCTCATGGACACGTGCTCGTGTTTATGAGTTTCTTCTCCCTCTTCCTCCTCTTCCTCTTATTCCTTCTGCTTGATCGTCACCCTTCTACGTCAGTAAGACCAAGGCTTTCAGTATTGGATAGAGAAGAAACACGAACAGCAAGTGTGTACAAACAGCAATAGCAACAACAGCAACAGTAACAGTAACTGCAACAGCAACAACACACATATACACATACAGACAACAGACACGCTTGACCGGCCCTCCCCTTCTTTTTTGCCCCCCCCCTTTTACTCTTTCTTTCTTTCTATCCTTTTCTTTCCTTCTTCATCTTCCTCCTCTTTTCTTTTTCCTCTTTTGCGCTGTGTTAAAACAGCTCGAAGCTGCTCTCCACGCTCCACCTTCCACGAGGATCGTTTTATTTCGCGCGGATCGTGTTCGTGCGCACTCCTCATTTGCGCAAATACTTATATACATCAATCTTTACATATATATATATATATATACTTGCAACCAAACGTATGTAAAAATGCACGCATGTATACGCGTACGAATGTACGAACTTATACTTGTTTGTTATATAGATGCCTGTATTTGCATATATTTCTATATATATGTGTGTGTGTTCTGTGTAGATACGTGAGTTTGAATAAAGTAATGTTAGATACTTTTCCTATGTTATATAGAAAACAATAAAATAAAAAGATAAGTAACTTGCGCTGCGTTCAAAGGGGAGGGCTTGCGCAAAAGGGTCTGCTTTTTCTTCTTTTTCTTCTTCTTCTTCTTCTTCTTCTTCTCTCGTGTGTGCACGTGCACTCTCGCGCCAAAACACCTGCAACGGAGAACGATCATGGAGGAACATTTAAATGAATCCTCCTCTTTGGTATTCGACACGTAGATCTAACGTGACTCTGATTTTACTTCGAGATTTAAACATGTCCCTCTCTTTTTTTTCTTCCTCGACATTTTTATTATAATTTTTCTTTTCTTTTTTTTTTTTGTGTTTCTATATGTTTACAGGTAGATACATGGAAATATTTGTATTTAACATTGTTATTCTTTATTTCATTTACTTTTGTTAGATTGAATTTGTGTAAACGATTAAATACACACATCGTATGGATTTTTTCAGGAAATTCTATCATAAATTTGAAAGATTCTACTCTTTGGCAAGAAACCGTGGTGTCATTCCTTAGAATTCGATAAAAATATCAATGGTACCCGGCTATTTATATTTTTCTTTACAATCCTTTGACATTAAAGATATGCAATAGGGAAACACGTTGTATACTGCTGTTTTTTTTTTCGAACAGAGTAAAAATATATTAAAAAATAAACCTCGCACATATCACATTTTTCAAAAAATGTTTGAAAGAATGCACTAATATATATGTATACACATATCGACGTATATTTTAAGAAATGTTATAATATGCAATAAAAGTGGTTTAAATCTGATCATCGCATAAAATTGGACTTAGGTGAAAAACACGTAACGTGAAGATCAAATCTTCATTCTTATCTTACTATTTCTATCTTCCCTTTTTTTAATTTTTTTGTATATTTTACTTTCAAACATTAAATCATCTCTTATTGTTCTTTTAATTTTGTAAATTTATTTTCAATGATATCAAAATTTTTACGGATTCTTTTTTTTCATTTTCAGATTATCCTGAACCACAATCGTTACGAACGATAAGAAAGAAGAACAAAAATTGAACGAAGGATAAAGAAAGGCAAACTTTGTCGAGAAAAAAAGAAAAAACGAGAAGTGTGGACGAATAGAAAAAACATTTACCTGTATAGAAAAGAAAAGAAAAAGAAGAAAAGAAAATGGAGTTGGTATCAGTGACCTCATCGACATCATTGGCGTTGGCTTTGGCCCTGGCCTTCCTATCAACGGCACGTCGTTGCGATAGTGCATCGGAAAGTATCAAAGGTGCGAAATGGAGATGAGCCTAGAATATATATACATCTGTTGAATTTTAAATGGAAAAGTGCATTCGTATAATCACTGTTTCTGTCTCTATCTCTCTCTTTCATTCTTGATATCTTTTTCTCTTTTTGTCTGTCTGTCTGTCTGTCTGCCTGCCTGCCTGCCTGCCTGTTTCTCTATCTTTTTCTCATAGATCTCGCGTCCTAGCGTAGTTCAGGCGCGTCACGCTCCATTTGTGACTTTTAAACGTTCTATTCTTGGACTATCTCCATTATCTCTCGGTCTATTTGCGCCAAGTCGAGTCGAATCATGGTCCGACGATGATTCGAAAAAGAAAATGATACATAGAGAAAGAAAGAGACAGAGTGAAGTGACAGAGGGGAAAGAAAACTCATCTGGGGCGCTTTGTTTCGGTGAATTCGCGATACCCATGACGAATCTTTTGAATTTATCTTTCTCTCTCTCATTCTTTCTTCCTTCCTTTCTTTCTTTATTTCAAGAATCGTAAAGACCACCAACACAAATCGTTATTCGTGTCTTCTTCTTCTTCTTCTTCTTCTGCCACTGACGCGAAAGTAAAAGTAACTTTATGGCCGGTTAACCGGCAGTTCCGCGAATGCTGCACGGGAAATGGCAAAAGCCAACGACAAAGTCGGTCTCCGTGCTTGTATCCCGCGTAAACTTCGATTTACGACGTAACCTCATACACGAGAGACTATTTCTAGAGAGAAAGAGAGAGAAATTCTGTATGCGTTCAACAGAAGCTTCCTGAGAAATCTTCGAAGCGTTGTGTAAACGCGGAACCGTACTGAACGGGGAACGTTACCGTCTTCTTCGTCTCTTCTGTAGATTCAACTAATCGTGAGAAATTACTTTTTATTCGTACTTCATTTTGCACATATCCATTCAAACGTTACAAACATACGAGTTCGTTTCATACGTTTGTTTCGAAAGTACTTGTAGAAATTAACATAGAAATGTTTTTGGACAAGACGAAGAAAAGAAAATGAAAGATACGCATTTTTTTTATGAATAACAAAATCATAGAAACAGAGATAGAATAAATGAAAAAAAAAAAAAAAAATAAGAATAAAAAAGATTGAGACACTAGGTGTCAGGTAGAAGTGAAAGAGAATGTTAAGAAAACGGTCGCGGAACACGCCAACGCTGCGTCCTTTCTCGCACGCATTCCTTCGCACTTTTTAATATAACATTAACCACGAGAATATTTATTTAAAATCAATCAAATATATCGATTTAAATTCATTGTATTAATTTGTAATATTAAATAACGATGTATTAAATAATTTCATTGGAAAAAATCTACGTGAACGCGGACATTTGAAATTTCAAAAGATGGCGCCCCGCGTGGGCGGCCATTATCGATATATCGATGCGTCTTCGTAATCGGGGCGGCAAATTTAAAGTTAAGTCCCGCGTGACTTCAATTTGTTTTCCAAATTTTGTAGTTTCGAACGATATTTTCGTATAATTGATGGAAATAGAATGGTAAAAACGTATAGGAAAAATAATACAATGAATCTATTGAATTATTGTAATCGTTCTTCTGTTCGAATGGGTTTTTTTTTTTTTTAATCGTCGATATCGTGATCGACGTACAAAATTGCTTGTCAATCGATTAGAAAATCGTTTAACGTATAGTATGTACTTATTCACTTATATATGTACGAAGCACGTACGAGACGCATTGGTACGGAAGAAATCGAACGAAGGAAGCCTCCAGAATGCGAAGGTCGATATCATAGGAATGCTTTGTATCGTGAACAATTCTTGATGTCGCAAGGATCCTTACGGCGGATTGATTACCGTTCATGATGTTAACTTCCTTCTCCTCTTTCTAGTTCTTTTGCTTTTACTCATAATTTTCCACGGATTTATAACGTATCGATCGATTTCTTTTCACGCAGGAAGCAGGGAGACGTGTGACATCGAGGGAGAAGATTTCACCGTCGACAAAATCCCAAATACCAGGTGTTTCACTTGCATTTGTAAGGTGAGTACATTTATTAAATATGAAAAATATTATATCATATATTTCAGTGAAATATATATATTCTACAGTTATTGTTATTTACAGGAATTTGAGATATCAAACGTTTTGGAATTAAAAATTAATAGAAACAAATTATTTTAACAATTATGAACGAGGAAAAAACAAAAATCCACGACGATTATTAGCCAACTTGATACTTAAGTTTTCAAAGTCTGTCTGTTATTAAAAAAAAAAAAGAAAAGAAATAACAGCAAGAAAAAAAATAGAATGTCATTGAATCATTAATCTCATTAGGAATTGTAATTTATTAATGCACTCGCCTCGTTGGTTCTTGAATTTTTATGACATTCTTTGTCTTTTTTTTTTCCTTTTTTATATTTCTTAACGATAATTCGTCAAGCTCTACGCGATTTTAATTACTCATAGAGTTTAACGTAATTTTTTAATTAGATTTTCAAGATCGCGATTGATCGTTTTTAGCGATAAAATAAATTTGTCCTATTATCTTTCTTCTTTTTTTCCTTTTTCTTTTCTTTTTTAAAGAAGATAAATCCTCCCCCACACATGGTTGATTGGTAGTGGTCTAATATCAGCATTTAACAGTTACATGACGACGACGACGACGACGACGACGACGACGGATAAGAAGACGTCTCGTTAGAGCACGTAGCCCGTTTTCATAGTCCAATTCGCAGATTACGTTGTTATCTTTTTCTCTCTTCTCTTATAGCGAAATGAAACGAAACATTACGACAGGGTTCTTTTTTTCTTTTTTGTCTTTTTTTAACTTCTCCGTTGTTGTTTTTTGTTCCTATTATTATACTTCTTCTCTTATAATGTTTTTTTGTTCACGCGAACAAACATATAATAAAGTAATTCAAAGTAGATGTTTTCTCGCTTGAGTTAATTCATTGCACAGTTTACGTACGCGTTTACTCTTAAAAGAGGTTAAAGAAGAGTTGGCCTGGTTCGGTATAGGTCAGAGCAAAAGAATTTCCACTTGGACCACCCGGTCCGACGATAGATATTTTATGCTCTCGATCTTACGATGGTGTGGAGAACTCTCACGAGAAGAGAGAAAGAGAGAGAGAGAGAGATTTCTCGTGCGAGACTCAACGCAGACGCCAACAACGAGTTGTTCTCCTACTTAATCTCCTTCATTCGTTCATTGACTCGACCATCTCTGCTCTTCGTTCGTTCATATTTTTTTTGTACTTTTTCCTTTAAAAAAAAAAAAAAAAAATATAACAAAAATCGTAAGACAAGAAAAAAGAAAAGTCTTCATTTTATTTTTAGTCACAAAAGTGTTAACACGTCTACTTTACTATCGTCTCGATTAATTAAATAATTGTTTATTATTATAATTATTTGTTTTTATGAACAATATATGTGTATATATATATATATTTATTCGTTATGTTTGTATTGGATAGTCGTCAGTAGACCTAAAGATTTTCTCGTTGTCCTCATATTACATTTTCATTTTGTTTATTTTTTTCAGAACGGATTTGTGGAGTGTCAGAAGCAACAATGTCCGAATATCGATGGTTGTTATACCCTATTGGAGGTTCAAGAAAACCAGTGTTGCCGTATGTGTAAAGGTACGTTACGCTAATGAAACTAATCAACTTGCTAACAGGTGAGCACAAATTAGCGACACTGTCTGAAAAATTTCCATTTTTTTTTCTCTACCCTTTTTTATATTACGAGGAAGAGAGTGTGAAAAAGTAAGGGAAATAGAAAAGAAAAGAAAAAAAGGAAAAAAGTATGAGAGAGAGAGAGAGAGTGAGTGAAGAAGGGAATGGGAGGAGGAACGGGAAGCATTGTTTTAAGGCACAAAGACGCTTCTGTTCGTCGACACCGCGATAAACTCGAGGAACTGTTTACGCTAAAACTCCCTGACAGATGCTCTCCGTCCTCTTATCAATCTCTATTAATTATGTTAATTGTGACGTAAGTCCCGTTGTCGAACGTCTCACTCTCTCTCTTTCTCTCTCTAAGTAATATGACAAAACTCACGAATATAATTCTAGAAAAATATCAAAGTAACCATATTCTCCTCGTTTTAATTATAATTAATGTATTATTATATTTAATAAAATATTTTTAACTCTAACACGATTTTACATTCTTCAGGAAGTACATTTCATGTCAGATTTCTTGTCGTTCTTTTTCTTTTTCTTTTTTCATTTTTTTTATTCACACGTTAAATGATGCGATTACAGGCTGCCTTCGAAACGGAGTTTATCACGAATCCGGCGCAAAGTGGAACGATAGAAATGACCCTTGCAAGATCTTCATGTGCAGAGCTGGGGTTATCACCGAATCTAGGCAACGATGTTACACGCCTTGTTCGAAACCAATGCCAGCATTGCCTGGAGAATGTTGTCCCGTTTGTCCAGGTACGAATAATTCTAATAAAAATTATTTATATTAGATATTTTTTTTCTTTAAACCTGTTCATTTTGTTTTTTATTTTTTTTTTTTTTCCATTATTTTTGTATAGGATGTTTCGTTAATGGTCAAAAAGTAACCGATGAGAGATCTTTCACGACAATCGAAGATCCTTGCGTAACCTGTCAATGTAATTCAAGTCGATTAAATTGTTCCAAACATGCTTGTCCTGTTCTTCATTGTCCAGCTTCGAGAATCTTTCACGAACCCGGAGAGTGTTGTCCTCGCTGCAAAGGTTTGCAAAAAATAACAAATAATCAAGATTATTAAATTGTTCAAATAATATTATGTTTTTTCAGTGTTCAATTAAATTATTATTATTTACAGGTATCACAGAATTTTTGCCACCTCCTAAAGGTGGTTGTATTTTGGGTACAACAGTTCATAATTCTGGTTCACAATTCTATGTGGATGAATGTACCCGTTGCATTTGTACGAATTCCGTGATATCTTGTGTAAGGGAAACATGTCCGGTATTGGAATGCACAAGCGAGCATCAGACAACATTGCCAGGTCGTTGTTGTCCGCAGTGTCCTTTGGTCGAGGAAAGCCGGGCTTCTTGCACGTACGGCGGCAGAACTTATGGGGCGAGTATTCTATTAGTAATTTCGTTTTTTCTTGACACAATAAAGACATTAGTTGACGCAAACCAGCAAATAACAACACGTAAGATTCGAGGGTGAGAGGTTAAATTTATCAAATTCAACTATTTATGCTAACTTGAAAAGTCTAGGTTTAATCTCAAAGCGAAAAAATTATCTTCATTTTCACAAAAGAAAAACGAAATTACTTTCCGAACAACCCAATATCTCTATAAATTTTTTTGTATCTATATATGGGGAATGAAACGACAAAAAAAAAAAGAAAAAATAGAATCTTGGTCGTTAAAGCAATCGAGTTTAAATGTTTATTTTTGACCTAGGCAGGATGGCGAAACTTGGAAGCTTGATTCTTGTAAGGCATGCGCTTGCATGCAGGGTAAAGTACGATGTGCAATGCCGAAGTGTCCACCATTGAATTTACCATGTCCGCCAAATTCAAAATTGGAGCATCCCAAAGACCAATGTTGTCCTCGTTGCGTTGAAGGTAAATACGTTTGTGAAAAAATGAAACTAGAATGTGACTAGAAAATGAAACTGTTCAACAAGGAAACGAAGTAAAAGTATTTCTCAATCAGGTGATGGTGTATGCACTGTCTTTGGTGACCCCCATTACCGCACCTTCGACGGCAAATTCTTCAGCTTCAAAGGCGCTTGCAAGTATCAGTTGGCTAGCGACTGCGTCGGACATACGTTTAGCATACGCGTGACGAACGACGCCGGCTTGGCGAGATCTTCGGCATGGACGAAAACGATTGCCATCAAGGTATTATACTTGATGTATTACGTAATATAAGAACAAGTGATTTATTTCTTCTCCTTTTATCTACAAATTCACCTCTCTTACAGATCGGCGATCTGAAGGTGAATCTGGGTCAAAAGATGAAGGTAAAAGTGAATGGTAAGAGGGTCGACGTACCTTACAGTGTGGAGAACAAACTTGACGTTAACAGAACGGCCGACAGCATAATAGTTAATACACCGATCGGTATCAAAGTACTTTGGGATGGAATTAGTTTTCTTGAGATCTCAGCGTCTACGTCCTATAGAGGTAGATTGTGCGGATTATGTGGAAACTTTAATTCCTTACCGAAAGATGATTTCATGACTAGACGCGGCAGACTCTTACAAGATCCTCAACCATTTGGCCAATCTTGGGCCGTTGGTGCTAAGAAGACATGCACACCTAAATCTCTTATAAATCCTGAGAAGGAGAGACGTTGCAGGGGGAGGAAGGATCATAGGTAGAGATCTAATAAAATGATTATTCTATCTAGAAACGGAATGTTTATTATATAAACTATTATAGATAGATACATATATGATATTCTAGCGAACATAAACGTCTAAGTAACGTTCTGCTTACAGATTGTGCAATCGCCTGAGGTCGCAGATCTTTGATCCCTGCCACAAGAAAGTCAATCCAACGATGTACTACAAAGCATGTCTTCAGGATATGTGCGAGTGCCCGACCGAGCACTGCTATTGCGAGTCTTTCATGGCTTACGTTCACGAGTGCACAAGATTGGGAATTCAATTGCCACATTGGAGAAAATCTACGAGATGTCGTACCATTTGGGATCAATCGAATAATAATCCTGGACCTTTTGGCAAACGTTTGCATTAAATGCTGCGAACCTTTGTCCCTTATATTTTTCTTTTTCTATTTTTTCTTCTTTTTTTTTTTTTCTTTCTTTTTATCGCGAAAGAAAAAAGTCGATGGACGATAACGTGTATATTTTCTTTATTTTTCTTTTTTGATTTTTTTCCTCTTCCATTTTCTTTTCTTCGTTTGCATTTAGTAGAGAGACTCGTAACGCGATGATCGTGCACACACGTTCTCTTCTCCTCTTCCGTGCGTGTTTTCTTTTGTATCACCTGTTGATATCATTCTTTCTTCTTTTTTTTTCTATTTTTTTTATTACGTTAACACGTTTTTCCTCTCATTTTTTATTCTTTCAATCTTTCTCTCTCTCTTTTTCTTGTCCGTTAACTTTTTGACAGCGCTAAACCTAATTCGTCTAAAAAGCAACGCAATCTTTAAAGATTATGTGCTAAAACGACGAAATATCTACTAGTCAGCATTTAAACGTCAATATGCATTGATGGTAAACGAGCTTCTTCTTTCTATTTAGCTAATTATCAACAATGGTTCCATGCTGATAAGAGTAATTATTAACAATTTAAAAAAAACAAAAATATCAAAGACATCAAGAAAATACTGAAACTCAGCATGGGGTATACCATAAGACTACGTTTATCCATGACTCCTCGAGAATATTAAAGATCTCGTGTAACATTCTAATGGATGGCCTTGATAAGTCATTCTTACTTATATTATTAGATCCCAAATCGAAATGAAATGAAGTTCGATGATGAATTTTATATAAGATAATAATCAGTTTGATTAACAAACGTTTTAGGCAATGCAATAACAACACACAGAATACACGCATATACATACGACGAGGATTTTATTTCTCTCTCTCTCTCTCTCTCTCTCTCTCTATTTTTCTTTTTCTTTAACGGCGATTTATTCTATTTGTTTTTTTTTCTTTCTTTTTAATATTACAGAGCACCGTGCAGTATTTCGGCCGATGAGCAGGCTCGCGGCATAGCATGTACATAAGCATACATATTATATATATATACGTACATACGTACATACACACATACATACATACATACATACATAAATACATCCCTAATTCAATAATAATATTTGAACGCGCATCGATCGAATTTTGTCATTATTTTCAAATTAATCCTTTCGTTACCAGCGACTCCATATTGTGGGTCCTATACCATGCAACGAATAAATATGTATGAGCGAATTTATGTAAAACTATACTCGCGTCAAAGCATGCCGTAACGAAAGGATAAAAACGCGATTTCTATTTCTCTCCCTCCTTATCTTTTTTTTTTCCATTTTTAGTTTTATTTGTAATTCTTTCCATTTCATTCCTTTTTTTTTCTCGTGCTCTTTTCTTTCGATGCTCGCGAGTATAATTTTTTTTTATATATATATATTATCTACATAGCCGATAACACAACGCTGACTTATTTTAGTTTAGTTCATACGTATCGCAAATATTGTATATACGCTGCAAAAGATATGATTTTTAATTATTATTATTATTATTATTATTATTATTATTATTATAATTATTATTATTAAGTGAGCGATCTCTTCGCCTTGACCTTTCCTTCTTTTTATGATCTTTCAATTTTTGTTTTTTTTTTGTTTCTCTTGTACTTTTTTTTTGTGTTTCCTAATCCTTCTCTAACGCTTTAAAATAAGATATAAACTATCTTTTAATTAATCGTTTTATCTAAAATGTAAATAGAGAAAAATGTAGTTAATAGACAATCTTGCATAGATGAACGATTGATAGTTTTTTTATTTTATCTTTTTGAAGTGAAAACTTTTTTAGAATGGGAGTGATTTGAAAAAATGAAACACGCCAGCGAAGGGACGCGGCTATGAAACGGCCACGATACTAAGTAAGAAGATAAAAAGAGACAAACGTATAGGATTGAGTCTGCGAGAGAATGAGACAGAATATAGCTGTATAGTTTTTCCTATTCTCGATCTCCTCTTTATGCTCTGCTTTGTAGTTATCTTTCCTGGTTGTATATGTGTGTGTTAAACATAAATACATGATTTTAATTCATGGATTGTTCTCCAATAAAATTATGAACAACTTTTTAATCTTTTATTATTTTTACGACGATCATTAAATGTCTAACATTGATTAATCTCAATTTTTAAATATTTACTTTTCATATAAGAGACAAAATATTATTTTAAAAATATACATTAATTAATTACAAAATTAAAATTAAATTTGTATGATTATTTATAAAAATATTACGCCTGTGGGTATGCAATCCTCCAGACACACTTGAAAATGTTGCTTGTGAGCGCCATCTGTTGGGACGGATTTTTTTTTCAGTCCAAACTGTTTATACACGCATGTATTACGGGTTGCCTATCTTTCGGGCAGACAAAAATTCCGTCTCAACAGATGGCGCTCGTAAGCAACATTTTTAAAGTGTGTCTGGAGGGTTGCATCCTTATCGATAGTATCGAACTCACTGTGAGATTTATCGAAATCGAAATTTGAAATAGAAAAGTGATCAAAATAATAAAGATATTCAAATATGATGGTGCATATATGATATGAGGATGCAATAATGTCATTTCGACATTTATTTTGAAGAAAATAATCAACGAACAACGAGCGTGTGTTTGTTTCTGAGAATTTATCCCTTTTCTACATAGATTATTGATATCAAGGTAACCCTTTCATCTCTCATCAGATTCTCGTCGAGTAAACATCGTTTCTCATTCCTTCTTGCAGATTTTCGTTATCTTTATAATATTACTAATTTGTTTTCAATAATAATAAACAATTATAAAAAATTATAATTTGATAAAACTTGAAATATATGTACGGTATATTTTAATATAATACACATATAGAAAGTTAATATATAATGCAACGCAAGTATCATCAAATCACATTTCATTTTTATATTTCGTAATATTAATTAAATGCACTTTGTCATTTTAAATCAATGACTCATTCCTAATTTAAATTCTAATTTTTATATTTATGTCCAAATCAATTTTGAAAGCTATTTTAAAGATTTCTTTTCTCGTCAGATGTCGTAGTTGAGTCACGCAGTATGACGTTAGTTGTCAACTTGAACAGGATTGTACAAATGGCAAGATGGCTGGTGTCATAGTACGGTGTTTTAAGATTCCAAAGAGACAATTAGGTAATTATTTACTTTTCTTGTAATTTATTAATCATTCAAACTATTTCTTATTAAAAAGTGTAATAAATTTCACGAGTTATTTGTTGTATACTTCGATTTATCGTTGGTTTAGAGGTTCTACGCATTATGTCTCGATTCGACAAGGTTATGTAATTAAACAATATAAATCACTTTGTAGGTCTCTTAGGATCGTCGTTAACTAATCAACAACAACAGAGATCCTTAGCAGATGCTGCTCCTGAAGGCAAAGTAAGTTAATTTATTAAATTTATTAATTGTATAATAAGATGTATGTGTGTTGTCATTTAGTTTTGTGAATATTGGGAAACATTTATTCGTTAACAGAAAGTCGGTGGTCCTTTAGCAGATGAAGATCGTATTTTCACCAATTTATATGGCAGACATGATTGGAGATTAAAGGGTGCTTTAAAGAGAGGTGATTGGTATAAGACTAAGGAAATATTAGATAAAGGAGCCGATTGGATCATCAATGAGATTAAGATTTCTGGATTGAGGGGTAGAGGAGGTGCTGGTTTCCCTTCAGGTATGAAATGGTCCTTCATGAACAAACCAGCTGATGGAAGACCAAAGTATTTAGTTATCAACGGAGACGAAGGTGAACCAGGAACTTGCAAGGACCGTGAAATCTTGCGACATGATCCACACAAACTTGTCGAAGGATGTTTAATTGCTGGTCGTGCTATGGGTGCTTGTGCTGCATATATTTATATTCGTGGTGAATTTTATAACGAAGCTTCGAATATGCAAGTTGCTATTGCTGAAGCTTATCAAGCAGGATTGATTGGAAAGAATGCTTGTGGTTCTGGTTATGATTTTGACATCTTTGTACAACGTGGAGCTGGAGCATACATCTGTGGAGAAGAAACAGCTCTTATCGAGTCAATTGAAGGAAAGCAGGGTAAACCTAGACTAAAACCACCTTTCCCAGCAGACGTCGGTCTCTTTGGATGTCCAACCACAGTTACCAACGTTGAAACAGTTGCAGTCGCCCCTGTATGTTCTTCTATAATTTTATTAATTTCTTAAATAATTACATCATTCCACTATTTGATTACTCTCATCTCTTAGACAATCTGCCGACGTGGTGGTGCTTGGTTTGCATCCTTTGGAAGGCCACGTAATCATGGCACCAAATTATTTAATATTTCTGGTCATGTTAATAATCCATGTACCGTTGAGGAAGAAATGTCCATTCCTTTAAAAGAATTGATCGAAAGGCATGCAGGTGGTGTGATTGGTGGATGGGATAATTTATTAGGTGTTATACCTGGAGGATCTTCGACTCCGGTCATTCCAAAAAGGTGTGTCATATATCATACAATCTCAAATATATGTTATTAATTTTCTTTGAAATTATAGTGTCTGCGATACGGTATTATTAGACTTTGACGATCTCATTCGAGTTCAAAGTGCTTTTGGAACAGCAGCAGTCATCGTAATGAACAAACAAACTGATATTATCAAAGCTATTACACGTTTGATTAGCTTCTACAAACACGAATCTTGCGGTCAATGTACACCTTGTCGTGAGGGTATTAGTTGGATGTATAAAATTTTACAAAGGTTCGTTTTGAGAAGAATTCATTCACCTATGTTTATAGATAATCTATGAGTATCATTATGGTATCTATATTCTTTCGTATAATTTAGGTTTAAGGAAGGAAACGCAGAAGAACACGAGATTGATATGCTATGGGAATTAACTAAACAAATCGAGTTGCACACTATTTGTGCTTTAGCTGATGGTGCTGCGTGGCCTGTACAAGGATTGATTCGTCATTTCAGACCTGAAATCGAAGCTCGTATCAAACAAAAGAAAGAGGCCGCCGCATCGTGTAATTAATAACGTGTAGAGTGTGACAACACAGAGTATTTAAAAAGAAATTAAGAAAAAAAAAATTAAAAGAAACATCAGTTTAACTTTTAGCAACCAGCAGGAAAAAGGTGAACATAATTAATATTCACAAGGAACGAACTAATTATTTAATTAAAAGGACGAGAGTAAAAATGACGGAGCTGGTTGGCTGGCTAGAAACTTTATCATTTTGTATTTTTCAGTGTACATACATATATAAAAAAGAAGATAGACGCGATAGTACGAAGTTTCTTATGTAAGATTCTTCCTGATCCTCGTTTAAATATTAAATCGGGGTCGGTCAATAAAAAACGAAGGAAAACGCAATTCTCTCTTTCTCTCTCTCTCTCTCTCTCTGTTTCTCTTTCGTTTTTTCGCATCACACACCTGTGGTTCGTGCGTTCCAACGTGTAATTCCTCGTTTTATTTCATTCATTAGTTTCTAAGGGAGGTAGCTTTCAAAAGTATTTAGATAAAACATTTCATTGTTCTATATATATATATTATGCATATATATATAGAAAGATACTTGGTTTTTTTTTTTTGCATTTATTCGTTCATTATACAAGAAAATTCACTAACACTAAATGTTCCGCCGACTACACGGTACAGGTAATAATGATGGGCCGCATTTATCGCATTTAATAATGCAATACGATGTGGGTGTATACAATATATATATACATGCATTGTATACATACATTGTATACATTGCATATATATATAAAAGCGCATATCCATATATCGGCGTCTTTTTTATTTGTATTCTTATTTTTAACCCCTTTATTACTAACGACCTATAATACAGGTCGTCCATGCCGAAGGTCCCATATGAACGACTGACCCATTTTAGGGTCCTATACCATACGACGATACGAACTTTAAATATGAAACGATATTCGTGTCAAGGCATGCCGTAATGAAAGGGTTAAATTTTTATCTTCTTTTTTGTATTATTCTTCTTTATTTTCGTCTTCTTCTGTGCCGCCGCCGCCGCCGCCGCTGCCGCTGCCACTCAATTGGGACTGTCTTTTTGCGGTATTTTTTTTTATTTTTTTATTTTTTTATTATTTTGTATCTTTTAATATTATCACTTACTTAAATAAATTTTATTATATATAAGCTATATCTCGTTAAATTCGGTTAAACTCGCTTTTAACAGCAAGTCGCACCTTGTGAGTTAGTAAGCGCACACACTGTCTTTTATGATAGGTCCGTTGTTATTTTAAACGCGTTTAACATTCTTCATATTCATTATACAATCCTTTCTTTCTTTCTTTTTTTTTTGTTGTTTATTTATTCGCGTCTTTTTTATTTATTTTTCATATACTTCTGTCCGTTCTCAAAGATATTTGATACATCTCATCATCATCATCTTCCCCCCTCCCACACACAGATTTTGGTACAAGATCAAAGGACTCCTTACGTAAATTTTGTTTCACGATTAATCCTTTGATCCAGAACTCGTAGATCCTAATCGTATTTCTAAAGCCTAAATATTCACGTTTACTCGATAATGAAACGAACGCGATTCGTAATAAAATAATTGTAGCACGGTTACTCACGCGTTTCATTCTCACACGTTATCATTATTATTATTTTATAATTATTATTATTATTAATTTTATTATTATTATTATTATAATTATATTTTTATTTTATATATATATATATGTATATAATTTTTTTGCATGTAATTTTTTCCTCTTCTTTTTTGTTTGTTAATTTTCTTGTACTTGTTTGCAAAAATCTTCTGTGTATTTTTTTCTCTTTTTTTTCTCTCTCTCACATGTTGGTTATATATGTTGTACGATTTTACAACGACGACACTCGCAAATAATCTCGCGAATATTTCTTTCTTTCTTTTTTGTTTTTTTTTCTTGTTTTTTTTTTTTTTTGTGTATCGATAAAACGTATATATTTTTTGTTTATTTAAATTTTTTGTTTGTTTTTTGTTACGCAAAGTCGCCAAGTGAAAGGTACATGTACACGATATGATTAAAAGCTCGCCGATGCTTCTTGCTTGCTCATTAGCATGATCACGGTTTTTTGTTCGAGACCCCCTATCGTTTGAGAGCTACGCCAATTATTTCATTTTCTTGGATATAAATCTGCCATAAAAATAGATGTCTTGTATTTTTCTATCTCTCGCAGTTTCTCCTTCTTTCTTTCTTTCTTTCTTTCTCTTTCTCTTTTCTTTTACGCGTATATCTCTTTGAAATCCCCCCCCCCCCATTCGGAATCATCGGAGTAAGAGGAAGAGAGATAAGATGATCAGAATCGTAAACGTGGATTAAATTCGAAGTCGTGTGACTTCGAAACTCTCCTCAGCTGCGAATTTCTCGCATTTATTTTTTTAACTCTTATTAGAATGAGATATATATATAGAGAAAGATAGAGAGAGTCTTACCAAATGAAATTTATGGAATAACAAACTCTCATGCCACATCTCACTCTCTCTCTCTCTCTCTCTCTCTTTCTTTCTCTATTTCTTTTTCTATTTCTCTTAATGTTTCTCTTTCTCTTTCTCTTAGCAAGCAAAACGATTTCTGTGTATTTTATCTATCGAAGCCAAGAACAACAATTTTCTTCGGTTCGTTTCCTCTCTATTTTCATCGTCCTAAGTTTACTTCGAAACAAAATGGCTGAAACCAATTCGCGAAATGTCCGATAAAAATACAAAATGGTTTTTCTCTCTCTCTCTCTCTCTTCCTCTTTGCGTAATTTGTGAACAAAAAAAAGAAAAAGAAAATAATAATAATAATTATTATAATTGTGCGTTAACATGTTGACATTTTAATTATGAAATATGTTTCATTTTTGTTCAAGGTTTTTTGTGGTTTGTAATTCAATCACGATCCACGAATTTTAATCTTGATCATTGTGTCCACTTTTCCTTTCTCTTTCTCTCTTTATTTATTTTCTTTTTATTTTCTCTCATTCTTTTTCTCGAACATTACGTGTACAACAACAACGCGTTACAAAGGGGGGGGGGGATTATCTTTTTTTTTTCTTTTTTTTATGTACCAAAAAATTATTCAGAGAATAACGAGACCCTGATGTTGTTACTCTAAGTAATCGTAATTCGAACATTTTCATCAATACGACCACCTCATCTATCATTTCTCGACAGTTCAACTAATCGATTGTCTTATATATATATATAATACTCTGATCACATATATAATTTTTTATTTTTATTTCATTTTTCTTACGACAAGCAAAGAAGTGAGTCTAGTTCTTTTTCAATAGTTTCCGTCCCCATCTCTTTGTGTGTCTTCATTTTTTCTTATTTCTTTTTTTCCCTTTTTTTTCTTTTTTAAATCTTCCCTATACAATCTTCTGTCAGCTAAACAAGCATTTAAGTAAAATTTGTCAAGCTAAGAAAAGCTATAATAATAATAATAATAATATTTTACAAAGATAAAAGAATTAAAATGACAAACATCCGTTGCTATAGATTTTTGTTTTTTTTTTTCAAAAATTATTTGTTCACCAATAATTTGGAAATTTTTTTTTATATTAAAAATTTTTGTTATTATTTTGAACCGTCGAGGAGTGAGTGAGAAAGGCCGTGTGATTTTATTATTGTGGTTGTTGTTGTAATCGAATATTGCAAAAGAGTCTCGTTACTTTCCGGAACAACAAAGTGACGTAGCACATACGATGGTCACCATGATGATCGCTCATTATAGCGGATGGAAGGCACGGGGTTAAGGATATCAAAAAAATTCTTTGAAAGGGTCGTCACGATGATCGTTCGTTTGTTTGTTTTTTTTTTGTCGTTCGTTCATCGGGAATCATTTGGTCGATTAATTATTCTTCTTCTTCTTATTATTATTATTATTAATATTATTATTATAAATCGCGCGTTATGGAAACGCAAGAATTCCCATATTATTTTTTTAAAACTATCGATCATCGGCCGTCCAATCGCTGGCTGCCCACGCAGGTAGTGGCGTCTCGTATTCCCATCCTGGTCCACAGTAACGCCACGCGTGCAGGTACATCACCAAATCCGATGGTTTAGGATCTCTGTACTTGACTTTGCACTCGTAACAGTGTGGATCCACGGTAACTTTGTCGTTAGCGAAACTAGAGTTTACAACAACAAAAAGTAAATACACATGAAACAAAATCAAATGTTAAATTAGATTTAACCCTTTCGGTACTACTTTTGCCTATTGGCGGCATCCACTAAACATTCTCTAAGTCCTACCGTGCCACCCATTAACATCATCTACTAAACATTCTCTGGGCGGCATCCTTAGAAAGTTATATGGATATACTCTCTATAGTATTTACATTACTTTACTATTCTGTTTTAAATCAACGTAAAAAAGTCAACAACGTGCCTTAATTATATACGTTTTAGCTACGTTAGCTACTTTATAAATAAGCTACGAAAAACAAATTAGTGTGTCTGCTTATGTTGTTAATTTTTTGAATGTATAACTTACAATTTGAATTTAGTTTTCTTCAGGATGAGTGTAAAACGTTTGAAAGAAGAACAATGGATAAAGGAAGATATCATTATTTCAGAAAGTGATTCTAACGAAGAAAATGCGAGGATCGGCCGAGGATCTGTGTAAGTTACGACAAAGCAGTATATAAACATTTTAGAAATGTTTTTTAAATACGTTAAATGTTGCATCAGTCACCGATGCCTGTCGCGATCTGAATGAAAAGTTTAATGTCAATCCGCCGTAGACTGCAACCACTCTCGTGGAAAACTTCCTCGTCTCACGAATGTATAACCGTGGCCAGCCCCTCCGTACCGAAAGAGTTAACATTTTAAAAGTAACAATGATTGATTTTGAGAATAAAATTTGATAAGACTACGATAATAAATCACAGTCGGTTTAACGTTAATCTCTCTTTCCAAGTATATTTTTGAATGAATATAAAATAATAGTGTACCTTTGATCGGGTGGTTCAGAACCAGTTTGTGTTCCAACCGTCACTTTGAGTGATTTAAGTTCTTGCTGAGGTGGTGGTCGTTCCTCTTCCGACAATGTAGCCGTAGAAGATGATTCCTCCGGTGAGGAGTTAGCGTTCTTATCAATGCTGGCCAGATCACGTTCCTCAATGTCGAGTTTAGATTTGAACATACTCATATCCGAATCTCCGTCCATACCAAGCCAATTCTCAGCATTGTGTATGCTAATTAGATCTCTGACCAATTCTTCATCTGTCTTACCGATGTTACCACCCTTTCCTTTGTGTGGTCCAAATACTACGTGATTGTAAAGTGGATCGTTAACGACCGGATAACCAAGATACTGCAGGTGCACACGTATTTGATGCATTCGACCAGTCTGCGGTTTGCAAAGTACAACCGAAGATTTTCCATTGTAACTCAAACGTTTGAAACGCGTTATACAGTCCTTGCCCTTTTCTGATACCTTGCAAACACCTATTTTATAAGACACGACCTCGATCGGTTCGGAACAGACCACTTCTTCTTCTGGAAATTCACCTTCGACCCGACACACGTATTGCTTGTGCACCTAAGGTTTTACGAACAAATATTATAAATAGGTCAGGATTTTGTGTTAAATAAAGGAAGAAAATTTACGATCTTTAAAATCCCTAAGTTTCTTTCTAAATTTATCCCATTGCAATAGAATTTTATTTAGAATAATAATTGTTTTACGTAACAATTACATCCAATTACAAACCTGTCTGTTTCTAATCTGATGTTCCATTTGTCTTGCTTTTTTGGGTGTCCTACCAAAAAGTAATATTCCACTTGTCAATCTGTCCAGCCTGTGGATCGTCCTAAGATTCTTCAAGTTGTACTCTTTGGCCAAAATGAAGACAACAGTGTTGTGTCTATAACGTCCACATGGATGAACCTGTAGATTAGTAGACAGAAAAAACGAAGGTGTTAAAATCAAGAAAAAAGGTAAAACTTTGGTCTACAAGGACCACCACCACCACCACCAACACCACAACCCTCCACCTACAACCTCAACGACCCCATTTTTCCTGGCTATTCGAGGAAAAAGCAATCGCGCCTCACACAAAGGCCGGTCGATTCCGAGAGCTTCAAATGTATTTACGTAAATACATTTACACATATATACATACATATAACGCAACATATACTACACGTGAATATACAGCAGTCCTACGCGACAATGCACCTGCATCGTGCGCAGCACCTGCACCTGCTGCACCAATATCACAAGGGAATAATGTGCTGTCCTTTCGAACGAAAACAAATGGCACCCCCGTTAGAATACGTCTTTACGATTATTTCTTTCTTTCGTTCTTTCTTTCTTTAAGAGTTTTGTATTTCGTTTTATTTTATTTCATTTTATTTTATGAACTTGGAGTAAAAGTTATTTCGTATTTTAATTTAAAATTAAATCACGTTTTTATCTTTTATTTTGTTGTTGTTGTTATTAAATTAATATTAATACGGTTATATAATTCTAAATTAATTTTTGATTTATCTCGATGAAATATTTCATTTAATTTATTGTTTATGCGTATATTTCGTGATTATGATAGATACGATCACGTTGTTTCTATTTTTCAATCGTAATAACGTTCTCGTTTTGTAGTTACGTAACGTAAGAATTTACTAATCGAGTATTTTAGATCTGATCGAGAGATGATCAATGATCATTTAATAGGGGCAGCTGTGTGTTAGAGCTGTTTAAATTATTCAAATCTATACGTAAGAGAAATTAGTGACAACCGGCTATTCATTTTAATGAATAATATACTCTCTCAGTAATTTAAAATAATTTCATTTGTAATAATAATATTAATTATATTATCATATTTATTGATTTAAAATAAAATGGTGTTAAGTTTTTAAAGTTTAAACAAAATACATAATTTTCACATATTTTATTTATCAATTAATTAAACAAAAATTATGTGTTTTTATTATTAGTTTTCTTTTTTTTTTCATTTCTTTTTCTTTCTTTTGAAAGCTGAACCTTGCACCGTTATTTTCGTAATAAACGATCCAATTATAGCAACCACTGTTCCAGCACTTTGACAAATTAGGGGGAAAATAGAAAAATGTATTTCTCTCTCCCTCTCTCTCTCTCTTTCTCTTTCAAGATGTACAATAACGATTTCTTACTTCGAACAATACCAAACCAGAGAATCGCGGCCTAATTTTACATCGAGTAGTACTCGTCTTATACGAAGACCTTTAACCGTAAAGAGGCACTTGTTACAAAGTTGCATAAGATTTTCTGTAAGTAATTGTAAATTTTCTTTTCAATGACCAATTTTATATATATATATATACATATATATTTTTATTTTTCAATTGCATTCTCATAAAACAAAAAATAGATGCATATAAATCAATCATTATTATTATTATTTCACGGGTTGATGCATAAAAACTATTATTCGCGATAATTATTTATTAATAATGATTTTAAATTAAAACAATCCCTTTCATCTCTCCATTAATTACATTGAAATATTTTACACGATCAATTAACAAAATGATATAATAATCATCGTTAAGATATGAGATCGTAAATTGTAGATATAAAATGAGTAATGAAAAATGCACTGAGAAATGTAAAAGACAAAGAGAAAAAAGAAAGAGAGGAAAAAATGTAATAAAAAATTACTTTGTTAAACGTTTCACTCTGCCATGTTTCATTATTTTGATACGTTCAAATATATTACGGAAAGTAGTAATTAATTATATAAAAAAAAAACAAAAAAAAACAAAAGAAAAAAAATAAATAAACAGAGATACGAGAGTCATGTAACAATAAGTATATCACTTTTCTCTTACATATAATAATAATTATTATTACTATTAATAATAATTGTGCATACAGGTCCTAATATCTACAGGTGCATGAACATATACATACACGTGTAACTTGTAAAATGGAAAAGGCGAAGAGATAGATAGGATCGTTAAAAGGATATGTGTGGGAGAGAAAAAGAGATAAAAATACAGAGAAAGAGAGAGAGAAAGAGAGAGAAAGACACATTTTAATGTCGCATGCAACGTAAGCAGCTCTCCCACAAGGGATTATGTAAAATCGGTTCGCTCTAATTAGTCGTCAAAGTTAAATACGACTCGTACTAACGATCGAAATTAAAGACAATGGTGTACGTTAGCGAGGGAGTGCCATTTTCCACGGCTGTGGCTCTTTTTGCTTCTCTCTCTCTCTCACACTCTCTCTCTTTCTCTCTCATTTTCTCTCATCTATCTCTTTTGCTAATACAGAATTACGCATACACGCATACACCTATTTTACATTGTTGACAAGCGTTAGCCAACGTGTAGATTGAACAACAGCAATCCTACTTGATGAGAGACAGCATTTGTGTGTGCATATGCATGTGTCTGTCTATGTGCATGTCCTATGTAGATGTAATATGTGTATGTTGCCGGACGATTAATGAAATTTGTCTCGGTAGGACAACAATAAGTTTTCATTCTGTGAAAATGGGTATAGTAACGATTTAATAAAACGTGTCAGTATGTTTTCAGTTTGCGGAAACCCCCGTTTGGTTTCTCTGTTCGCCACGATGCTGCTCTTCTCCTCCTCCTCCTCCTCCTCCCCCCCCTCTTTTCCTCTCCCTCACCTTCTCATCCTCCTCTCCTTGACCACTATTTAACTTGGATCTCTACCCGGAAAATAAAATATAGGTGTACGTAGTTCTAATGGTGGATAGTAGTAGCAGTAGTAGTAGTAGTAGTAGTAGGTAGTAGTGGTGTGAGTGTTGTAGTTGCACCGAAATCCACTGCACCGTGTGGCAAATAAAAACGAATCGGAAGAGAAAGAGAGAGAGAGAGAGAAAAGGGGTAACGAAGTTGCAATGGGGTTTTGTTTGTACCCTGAGTTCGACGATTTTCTCTCTCACTCTCTCTTTTTACTTTGTTGTTGTTGTTGTTGTTGACGTTTGTTCGTTCGTTCGTTCGTTCGTTCATTCGTTCGTTCATTCTCGGAATGAATCGCGAAAACGAGAATGTGTCTACGATTGACCGATCAACCCCTCCTCACTCCAACCCGCCCAATTATCATGGTCGAAAATCTTACGAAATAACTTAATTTACTTTCAACCAAAATCTGTTAAAACGTGTATCATAATCGTATCAATCAATGAGAGACTTTGAAAATTTTTAATGAAATTTTCAACAAAGATCATATTGATCCTAACCATTTATTGGATGTTTTCTCTCCACATACACACACGCAAATTTCAATCGTTCAAAATTGTTTGATACTTAAATAAATAATAATTGCGTCAAGGCCACGTTATTTCAACGATTTCAATAATTCCAATGATTCCAACGATTTGTTGATTTATTATTTACAACGTTAATCGTGATATACCTTTTGAAATAATCCCATAAATGGTATGATCGAACTTACTTTTAACTTTTACTAAACTTTAAAAAAAAAAAAAAAAAAAAACTAACTAAAAGTATCTAACAAAATCGTGTGTACTTTGATTTGTATTCAACATCAGTAGGACAGGTAGTTGAACAAATTACAGAGAGAAAATAAAAAAGGGAAAACTGAATGATGGGGGATGGTGGTGGCAAATAAAAAAGCGTAAAACGAGAAGAAAGAGATAAATAAAAGAAAGAAAAAACTACTGACAGTTTGACGAGGAGGAGTTGTATTTGGGATCGTTTGGGGACTTGTTGGGGGTGTTACTAGCTAAGCTAGCTAGCAAAGTACATTTAACTGGCTTACCACGAGCCAAGCAGTAAGTGTTCCTAAGAGGAAGCAAGGATATTGGGGTTAGGTTAATGTCCTTGAATATTATACCACATATAATTGTTGTATAGCATACCATCTTTATGTATTATGTATTTATTATGATAGTATGTGTTTGGATAAGAAAATATGAGATGGTCAATGTAATAGGAATAGAGACATAAGACAAAAATAGAAATAGAAATCGAAAGAATGATTGAGTGAGTGAGTGAGAAAGCAAACGTGACAGTTTTTGGCAGTACAGTCCTGGCAGTACACCACTTACAGGGATGGAGGCGGGCTTGTTGACCACGACGACGTCCTCGTCCATGTGTATCACCGTGATCGGCTCCGAGGTGACAGGCACCTCGTGTCTGCAACACACCAATCGCAACCAGCTTAACATGGCTTTGTTTCCTTATATTAACACTTTCGTACGTTAATCGTACGCATACACACACACACACACGCACGCACACACACACACGTACAAACGTACTCACACTCGTTACACATACACACCATACAGTGATGACATAATTCCATGTTGGTGGAATAAGTCTTAAAGTTTTTCTTTTAATATATATATATATATATTTATAAATATATTATATAATAATATTATTATATATACAAACATAGTATTATACACGTAATTTTTTAGTCTTAATCATTTTTTGTACTGTTTGATTGATTAATTTTGCTTAGAATTATATTAGCAGCAGCAGTCAATCAGCAATAGTAACAACAGCAATAGTTTATAGGCTTTCTATCTAATCGATTTACACATGAATCGAGATAAATGATAGAAAATAAAAGAAGAATTGCATTATTAAGAGGAACGTATTTATTCCTTCTTTTATATTATCATCATCATCATTATCATTATCATCATCAGTATCGTCGTCGTTCTCTTCGTACACTTATGGTAATAGGTCAGAAGTGTTCGAAAAGTTGCTACGATCATTAATCAGAAGAATTGAAATTGGCGTTCATGCAGAAAGAGAGGAATTTCGAACGTTGCCATTGTAACCGACATGAACAACGTGTTCCATTGTTTGAAATTGCTAGTCGATGTTCTCGTTTGAACTCTTTTTCTTTATTTTTTGTTTCCTTCTCTCTCCCTCTCTCTTTCTCTTCTATTCTTTCTTTTCCCTATTTTGTGTTTTTGTTGAAGTTCCACCTACCTCTCTCTCTCTCTCTCTCTCTCTCTTTCTCGAAGTACCTTCCCAAAATGTTCGAACAATTTGAACGGTGAATATTTTCGAAACACCTGCAGCAAGCAACGCATTTGCAACTTCAATTATAACCACGTCGAAATGCACCGCACTTTATAGCCTTTCATTATTAAAGTTCTAACCTTTCCCTATCCCTTTTCTCTTTCATTTCATATATACGAGTATTAACACATTCGAAATCGGCAATCCCGTAATCCTACGTCGTTTGGAATTCCTTTTTTTTTCTTTCTTTAACTAAATATTGGTAACGCGTTGTTTTAAGCTATTAAATATTTCATTAGAAAAATATTTAAATAGAAACGATTTTTATTCGATAATCAAAATCAACGTGAAATTCAACGAACAATAAATAATGCATTTATAATTGTTTCTTTATTTTATTTATTTTTTTTTTTTCATTTATAATATTTTCTCCGCGTTACTAATGTTAACATCATTAAATATATTTTAAATGAAAAAATTATTCTATATACTATATATATATATATACAGTGTTATAAATAATCTGGGACGTAGAAAAGAGAAAAGAGAAAAGAGAAAAAGAAAAAGAAAAAAAAAATCATGTCAGTTAATTTTTGTTTCTTTTTTGATATTCACATTTAATGGGTGAACAGCCACGACATACGACGATTTATACTGTTAGATAAATCATTTTCTACCCTAGACCAACCAGTGATTTGAAAAATGTCGTGCAAGGAATGAGGGTTTCCTTCGAGGTCCAATTAAAGTACGCTCGTCCTAGGAACTGTGTAACTTGGCTAGGGGGGTAGTAGAGGGGGGGGAAGGGGATTGGAAAGGGGTAGTTTATTCAGCTTTAGGATAGGTCTGATAGCCTTTACGTCAAATTGCGAACACCCACGCTCGCATTAAATCCACTACACTCAACCCCATAATACTTCGATAGGAGGATATGAGAAGAAGGTAATTGTATGAGTAAATTAATGTGAAAGTGTATGTGTGTGTTTGTGTTTGTGTATTAGTAGTCGTTTTCTCTTACATCTATAATAATATATTCCACTTAACTAGAAAATTACTCGAAAATACGGTACAATTAATGAGTAACCGATTCTCAATTCGTTACTTGAATGGTTTACCATCGAAGATTCCTCTTTTAATAATTTCGAAACGTGTTCGTTAAACCATTGCGTAAACGTAACAACAATTGCCGTACAACTTCTCACGCTTCTCAAGTCGTTTCGTTTCGAATATCGTTTCCATAAATTTACTCTCTCACGGTTAAGAAACACAAATTAATGAAGAAAGAAGAGAAGAGAAGAGAAGAGAAGATTTACAACAGTAAAATCTTTCAACGAAATTAGAAGTAGACGAATATCGATGAGAGGAGACTTTTTTGTATTATCTATTTCTACAATCTAACAGTAAATTCTTTTTCTGTTTCTTTTTTTTTCTTTTACTTTTTTTTTTTTTTTTAACGGGTAGTTTGACTTATTAACTTTCTTTTTAACCCAGAGTAAGAAAAGTGCTCGACAGTATTTTCTCTTATTTTACTTGTCGCCTTTTTTTTTTTTTGCTTTTTTACTTTTCATTTTGTAAAAGTAATTTAATCTTTTAACTTTATACTATTTCGCAATCTTTCGCTAAGTGGTAACTCAGTCCGTTAAACGCTTTTTATAACAATCGATTGATCAAATCAAATCGTTCGTTAAAACTTTTTTCTTATTCTTTTTCTCCTTTTCTTTTTTTGTTAAAGATGCGAATGTTATTAGAAAAAATATATACTTGAAATAAGTAATGTAAAAAAAAAACACAAAAAGAACAAGCTTTGTAAAAGAAAAAAAAAGAACGAATCGAATCGAATCGAATCGAATTATTCGATGATTCTCCGATTCATAATTTGATGCATAATTTAATGCATAATATATTTAGTTTCAATATACATAAAGAAACTGATGAAAGTGGATTCTCATGAAATGCAAATGGAATATACCAAGAATCAGAAGATGTTAAAACTTATACTGTTGTATATCTCAAAATTCATTTGAAATGCTTTAACATTTTAGCTTTTAACAAATGTCTCGATCACTTTTTGAAAGATGTCTACGTGCGTGTAATATAGCGTGAAGATAAATCATAGGGATTGGGGGAGAGTGGGGGTGGAGGGGGGCAGGGGGTATATTAAACTCGATCAAACAGCAAACACGTTCCGTTCAATGACGTTTTAGCAAACTAAGTAGGTAGGAAGGTTGGTAGATGGCAAGTATAGTGGGTCTGACTAACGTTTACCTTCATTGGCCAAGGTAGAAGTGTATAACTGAGGGAAAAGGTGAGCGGCCAACCTTTGACCTCCTTCCGATATCATCGTGTACTCGATCCGAGCTAATAAATCAACCTGTCACCGCTCTCTTTTCGTCGTCCCTGCAAACCGCGACACACTTTGCCAGCAGCACCCTTTACACATACTTACATTTTACCCTATTTGCCATTACCAACTTAACCTACACCTACCAACAACCAACCCTACTCTTATTGGCAACCACCCACCTATCTACCTACCTACCTACCTACCTACCTACCTACCTACCTACCTACCTACCTACCTAACCAACCAACCAACCAACTAACTAACCCGGACATACCATTTACTACTGTGCTATTCTGTGACTAGCAGATAAGGTTCCATTTAAGAACATGATTAGTTGACTTGTTCTTAGATTCGCAAAATGCAACTATTAAGAAAACTCGGTCGTTAGGTGTCTGTGATAACACTCACAACTATATTTCTCTATGTATGTTTATATTATGTATATATACTAGATTATAAATGTTAAAAAAAACTCATTGGTGTACATTCCGAGAAACAGAATATTTGTTAAACACACAAGAGAAATGATTGATATGAATTTAAATATTCTGTTGATTTAAAATTATATTCGTGTGCTTCAATTTTGAAGAAAATTTACAAATAATTCGTAAGTTTTTGGCTGATAGTACCAGAATATTTGTAAATTTTTTTTTTTATACAATAGAAATATGGTTTATATAAAATTGGTGATATATACGTCTCTTGTATTTCAGAAAGATTTTTCAATTTTCTATATAATATATAAGGTAGATATATATATGTATATAATGTTTTGAAAGAGAGAAATGGTTATTTCTATTTCGAACTGAGCTTTCTTCAATATCTTTAGTTTTAATTTTACTTTATGGACTAGCAATTTCTGTTAAGATATATATATATATAATATCTGTATATGTGTATGTGTATATATCGATATATATATGATCGGTATAATCATTATTTCTTTTCTTTTTTTTTTATTCTTCTTCTTCTCTTGAATATTCGTAAAATAAAACTGTGTCGATAGGAATGAAAAAAAAAAAAAAAGAAAAAAAAGAAAAATAGGAAAATACGAATGCATCGTTTATATAATACGTTTCGTTCAAAATGTTAAAAAAAAGGGACACGAGGAGTATTTTGAAGAAAAATTTCGAAAGGAAATTTTTACAAGGACGAGAAAATTTGTTCTCGTAAAACGTTGGAAACATTCTTTATTTCTCTCCGAGGGATGAAAATGTACTATTTTACTTTTGTTTCCTTCTTTATTTTCTTTTCTTTTCTTTTCGTTTCGTTTTCTTTCCTTTCCTTTCTGTTCAGAAATTATATACAACAAGGGGTGGAAAAACACTCTCCTTAAGCTCGATGTATTTAAGAGAGGATAGAAAATAAATGTTCCATCGAGAGGTATTATTTTTATTTTTTTATTTTTTTACTTTACTTTTATTTTTCTTTGAGAAAAAAAAATAAAAAGCAAAAAACAAAAAAAAAACAAAACACAAAGAAGTTTCTCACTAATTATATCAAATCGATAAATATAACGAGTTGATAGAAATAGAAGTGGATAAAATAATCGTACGTGTCGAATGTGTTTATCGAAATAAATTGTTTGTAATTGGTCCCTAACCTGAGGGGATCGAAGAGTTTCCTCAGCACTGTTTATGTTTACTTTGCTACTACTGAGAATCTTGACTAAGTTAAGTCAATTTTAGGTGCAATAAGACAAACAAGAGTATACAGTAATGAACTAGTTGTTGCCAAGGGAGAAAGTAACGAAACTATGTGCTAAGTGTAGATAACACTGTTACTAGAATATTATCAACATATTTAGAAATGTTTGAATTACTTTTATGTCATATATTATATTTTTTTAATAATATTTCTTTTAATTATTTCTATGTTTTTTTTTTTAAATTATTATTTTTTTATTATTAAAAATAAATATTATTATATATTTTTATAATATTGTTGTATATAAATATTATTATATCATTTCTTTTTATTTTCTTAAAATTCTTTGTGTACCTTAACAAATATGTGATCAGAATAATTATTTACAATAAAAATAGTGTTCCCTTTATTATTATTTTTTTTTATGCACAAATTTGTAACTATTTATTTTAAAAAATGTCTTGTCGATGACATAAAGTAAAGTTTATCTTTTTAAATACATTTAAGGACTTTTTATGTAAAATAAAAAAAAAGAAAAAAAGATAAAGAGAGAGAAAGAGATAGAGTTAAGATTCAAAAGCGAATAAAAGATCAGTTTAACCAACATTATTCTTTCTCGAGTAGGAATGAGGAAGAAGAATGGGGTGGAGAAATAACAGCAGACGTTTCCGAATTACGATGCCAGGAAGGCAATCCGCAACAAGTTCACTTTTCACAGTGATTTCTCTGGTAGGAGTAACACGCCAAGAACCCCATCCTTTCTTGGCACGGACATTCTCTCGCCAAACCACCCAAACATTGTCACCGATAGCACGTCAATTTCAGCAACAAGTATTCCCAACTTCCAAACGCCCAGATAAACCTTCTCATCTGTTTGAATATACCACCACCCTGTTTTACTCTTTCTCTTTCTCTTTCTCCTTTACTCGTTGAACGCTTCGTTTTGCTAAAAGTTTGCATTCAAATGACAAACTGCTGTTTTAAAGAGAATGATAGATGAAAAAGTCGAATCGATTTGTCTAGTTTGAATTTTAAACGATTGCTTTTCAATACGACATTTTTTCTTTCTTTTTTTTTTCTTTTTTTTTTTTTACTCCTCGTCCCTTTTTTCCGTTTCCATTTTTTCCTTTTTTTTCAAAAGCTTTCATCGATCAATCGATTCATCGTAAAATTCTCCCTCAAACGAATTTTTCCTCCGTGTTTTTTTTTTCCTTTCTATCCCTTTTCTATTTTTTTTTTATTTTTATTTTTGTTCAGAAATTATTTTCGGATTTATTTCGATAATCATCTTTACCTTTGAGTATTAGTAGAAATACGATTGAAATAGGAAAAATAGAATGAATATCACAAAATTTGCATTAATTTGTTCAACCACACGTTTATGTTTTTGCAGTTTTACGTTTAGTTAATAGAAACGTGTGTTTTTTATTCTCGTAGAAATATTTGGAAAATGGGAAAAAAAAGAAACTTCAAAATTGTAGAATAAAAAAGAAAAAAGGAAAATAATTCGTAAAATAGAGGACGCGAAATGTCGATGAAACGATATCGATTCCTATCTGGCCGCGTATTTGTGGATTGTGGATTGCAGTAATAAAGTGACAATCTCCCGACCGATTGAAGAGGAAACACGAATAATTGCGTATAGATGCAATAGAAACAGCAATAGCAAGCAACAGCAGCAGTTGCAGTAGCAGAAGCAGCAATTCGATGCAAATTCTACGATGACCTAGCACGAAAGGTCGTTGAAGGAAATTACTGAATTAAAAAAGAAAACCCAACGAACCAGCCAACCAAGTAATCAACCAACCCAACCAACCAACCAACCGAGTGTTCTAGCTATATCGACTGTTGCTTGCTATTGCTGTTGCTGTTGCTGTTGTTGATGATGATGATCATCATCATCATGATGATCACATCCAAGTATATGTATACACACACACATATACACACATTCTTTTTTACAAATTGTCTGTTTCGAATAAAATGAGACAGAAATACGTCACTGTTACTACTTAGATGTTGTTATTACGCAAGCCTAACCAGATGCGTCCTTCGAGAACGTACACCTGCTTGCCTTTCCAGTATTTCAAAGCCTTTCTCTCAAAGACCTCCTCCCCCTCATCCTCATCCTTCTCACCAAACACCCAAGCCTTTCTATTTCGTCTTCACCAATCGTATATGAGATTCTTCCTCACATTTTACACGACTGTCATCTTGTTTCTTTATTTTGTTATTTTTTTATTTTAACTAAATTTTATCAGCAGATATCTCAAACGAGTTCTACGAGACGTAACACTTATAATATTTGACACTAAAATAATATTATTAAAAACGATAGGGGTCATTCCATTGGAATTTAATTTTAATCCTTGTTCAAGGTTATTGACATTTTTTTTCATCTTTTTCCTTCACATTTTTGTCTACGTGTGTTTGTCTGCCTCTCTTTCTCTCTCTCTCTCTCTCTCTCTCTCTCTCTCTCTCTCTCTCTTTCTGTCTCTGTCTGTCTGTATGTTTATATGTGTGTGTGTAATCCTTTTACTTTCCAATCAATATTCGTTGATATTAAAAATCGTTCACACGAGTTATTAGATTCGATCTTTAGATTGTAGTAATATAAACGTTTATCTTTCTTTTTTTTTTTTAAATAAAATTTCTAACAATGATTGGAAAAGATAATCGAATAATAATAATTATTATTATTATTATTATTGATTAATCGTGACTATGTTAAGAAAGTGAGGCTGTTGATTTAGAAATAAGTGGTAAATTATGATAAATACATATATGATATTTAAACGTTGAAGATGCAGAAATAATAATAATAATTATAATAATATTAATAATAATAATAATAAAATACAAGGATAAAAATAGAAAGGAAAAGATATATATGTATATATATAAACTGGCCCCAAAAGAGAAGGTGGAAATAATTCGTTGTGAAAGGATCTGTGTATTTTAATGACATTTTTATCTTATCCAAAGAAGAAAACGAATGAAAAAGGATGATGAAGAAGAAGAAGAAGAAGAAGAAAGACGAAAGACGAAAGACGAATAAGAGATATTCAAATAAGAGAAAAAGAGAAAGAGACTGATTTCATCTTGCATAGAAAATGATAGCAGGTAACTTGTTTGAGTAGAAATCCGATGGAAGTGAGTTGATATAACGTGTATATATATATATATATACAGGGTGGCCTAAAAGTCACTAGACCATTACGATAGAATAATGAAACAAGTCAATTACCGTGAAGACAAGAAGTAATAATCATTTGAACATAACCTTTATCTATACAACAAACGCTATATTTTGACTTACATGAGCCACACTAAAGCGAGGAACAGCTTGAAAAGATTTTTTCTTTTATACTACTTTTAAAATGGTCTAATAACTTGTGGGCCATCCTATATAACATATATATATATATATATATATATATATATATATATATATATATATATATATATATATATATATATATATATATATATCATATATATGTAGATATGTGTACATAGATAGATATATATAGAAGGTGAATATCAAACACTAAACGTGTGCGTTAACTTGGGTAGTATTCGTGCCAAGGATACTCCACGTAATACCGAACGTGGTTCCTTCAGAGAGTAGAAGGATCTACAAGGTTATCGATCCGACTTTAGATTCGTGTGTGTGTTATATGTGCACACAAGCCTCGAGAGATCAAGATGGTTGGTAGGTAATATATGAATTGCCATGACGATGATGATGATGATGATGATGATGATGATGTTTCATTAAATAGTTGATAGAAAATTTCAGGTAGTTCGGTTACGTTGACTTTTCATAAGATCCTTGAAGAGAATAGAATAGAACAGAAGAGCATAGAATAGAAAAGAACAGAAGAGAAGAGAAGAGAAGAGAAGAGAAGAGAAGAGAAGAGAAACATTACAAAGGATTCCCACCGTTATAGTTTTAAGTTAGCTCATTTCATTTGCTAGCTAGCAAAAGATTAAACCTAACGCTGCTGTAAAATATTGTATAAGGATTATTTTTCATTGTTTTTCATTTTCTTTGTAATTTTGTTGATCTTACCTATGAACGACGTTAGCCAGAAGATCGTTATGTCGCAATCTATAATCCACGTCCACCCTTTGGTAATTGACGGTGAGCGTACCAGCACGAATACATCTCTCGTATTCCTCAGCAGGATGGGCTCGGAATTCCCTCGCAAAGACCTCCAGGATTTTCTCGCCGACCCATCGGCCTTTCGTGAACGTTGTAAACGTGAAGTAATAGGGATATACCTTTCGAAGCCCTGTTATATAAATGACATTCTATCTAACAGAACTTTTTATTTGTCTACTAAAATAAGTATACAGTAAGTAATACACCCATCGATCGGTTTTTTCTCGGTTCTTATTTAAAACCCTTCTTCTTTTATTTATTTTCAAATTATCGTCAGACCATATTTGAAAAATCCTTGCATGCTAGAGTCAATTATTATTATTGCATTCTGATAATTTTTCTTTTTCTATTTTATTCAAATACATTAACGTGCTCGTTGATTTAATTAAAACAAAGTTTAATATTGCATAGAGAAAAAAGACGATTGAAACAAATATGTCAAGTAATCGAATAAATATAACGGGACACACTTTTAAATCGTTTCATAACTTTAAAGTTACACACATATGACGTTTATAGAAAGAATAGACGAAAGGATGAGAAGTAGGAGAAGGAGGAGTGGGAGGAGGAGAAAAGAGAAAGAGTTAAGACGAGCACATACAATGGTAAGACGAACACATTCAGCTTTTCGAAGGCCGAATCATAAAAGTAGAGATATTATATATATATATATATATATATAGTTTGGGTCGAGGAATTTTTCGCGATGGTAGAAAAAGGGGTACTCGGGGGTGGGATGAGGTGGGGTGGAAACGGTTCGTTCACCAGGAAAAAGACAAGTGCAATGTAAAAGGAAGGAAGTAAGGAAGGAAGGAAGAAAATAAGTGAGACACAGATAGACAAATAGACAGACAGAGAGAGAAAGAGAGAGAAAGAGAGAGAGAGAGAGAATAAAGAGTAAAGAGAAGAGAAGAAAATAGAAGAGAGCTTTTGAGGTAGAAGATCTGGATTACGTGGTGAACGCGAAACGTGCCGAGAGTCGTTCGAAGGATCCTCTAGAGATCGGCCTTCCCTTTGCTTGCCCTTCACCAACATTCTCATCCACTTATACTCACATACATACACTCATACATATAAGTATATATGTCTTCTTCATTTTACATCTAAAACCACACGTACAGAAACACACACACACACACACATACATAGAGAGAGGATACACCAGATGCTTGGTTCTTCGTTCTCTCTCTCGAAGAAGAAGAGCTTGAAAAGAGACGCTGAGAAATCGTCGACAACGAGGAGGAGGAAGAGAAGGAGGAGGAGGAGACAATGCGTCGTCCTCGACGATGTGTTAAGCCTCCTCTCGAAACATGCTCGTTTCATGATAGTCGAAAAGGCTATGGAAGTAGAATATATACACACTCCTTCTCTACTACTTCTACTAATTCTACTTCTACTTCTACTTCTTCTTTTTCTTCTTCTTTTTCTTCTTCTTTTTCTTCTTCTTTTTCTTCTTTTTTTTCTTTTTCTTTTTTCTTTTATCGTTCTATCGAGTGGTAAACTGCTTGGGTAGGTAACTTTTAAATGAAATTCGTTTAACCCATTACCCATCAATGGCTTTTTTTTTTTGGAACGCATTCTCAAATTCGTTTTTTTTTTACTAACTACAACTTCAGAATTAAATATATTCGTTAATATCATAAGATCATACTTTTATTTTAAATCATTATATAGTTAATTATTTATCAAATATCATTATACAGTTAATTTAATTTTGTTTTGCATTTCATATTGGTAACATTAACGTGTTAACCTATTCGAGACCACGACTTTTTTCGAACACGGTTCCTAAGAGCCATTTCCTTTTTTTTTTTTTATTATATTGCCAATGTTACAATAACAAATTTTATTTTTCTATACTTTAAAGATATTATTTATACAAAAAAAAGGTAAAGTTTTATTTCGACGAATACTTTAGTCAAAATAATTGATAATAGCTAAGTATAATTGCACACACACGGTTTGCAAGTGGTTTCGAATGAGTTAACCACGAAGAAAGAAAGAAATGAAAATAAAAATGAAAATATGAAAAAAAAAAGGACAAAAAAGTAAACGAGTTATTTTAAATTACAGTATCATTATCATCATCATCATCATCATCATTTCATTGTACGAATAATTTATTAAATTTATTTTCTTCTGAAATAAATTTTATCTCACACATTTCACATTTGAATTTAACGATCAAAATCATTTTATTTGTCGATCAAAAATTGTTGTTGACTATGTAATAGTTCGATCGTTTCCAATATCCTCCATTGAAGATTTATAAAACTGATAGGTAGTAGTAGTTGTAGTAGTAATAGTAGTAATAGTAGTAGTAGAAGATGCAATTTTTACAATATGAAAGAGGAAAACTTTTTGAAGATCCAAAGAAAACTTACATGCTAGTATTATTGGATATATATATATATATATATACCTATTTTCTATTCGAGGTGAAAAATAGAGAGAAAGAGAGAAATATAGTGAAAGATATGTACACCCGAACGAAGAATAATCTTTTCGCTTGTGTAAAATTCATGATAACTCATCCTCCTCCTCCTCCTCCTCATCCTCCTCCTACTTCTACTTTTGTGGATACCACCACGGATGTGTCTGCTGTTTTATATTTCAGATCATTTTTATCGACTGACTCACAAATTTGCTGTCTCTATGTGTAATTCCTTTTTTTTATTATTATTCTTCTCTCTATAACCCCCTTTTACCCCACGTATCTGACATAATTTCGAAATGTTGATCATCGAAATTTATTGTTTTGCAAGTAATGTCAAAATATTCGATTAATTGTAGAATTAAATTTTGTAAATTAAAATTACGATTAATTTGCAGGTATAATTTTTATTACAAAAATTCGTGAACGAGTTGGTTGTTCAATGTAGTTATGATAAAAGTTATAATAATAATGAAATTTTTGTGGTTAACAGATGTATAACTTTGCGCTTCCGCCATTTTTTCTATAAGCCATTTGTAGGAAAATAACGGAAACAATATTAACAAACTAATATTTTAGAAAACCAACAAACAAACAAACAAACCAAAAAATTGATACAATCCATCATCCCTTTTTGTAATTTATTTAACTATTTTCACTTTTGCAAGACAAGAAAAGTACATCAAATTCATTTCGTATGAATAAATAAATCTACTTAATTCTCATTTAATTGTTTCCTTTTTTTTTTATTTTCTCTTTCATTCTTTCTTTATTTTCCAGTCAGTCAGAGTTAAAAGAACCAGACCCTTTTTTTTTGAAAGGAAAGAATGGAAAAATATAAAAATAGAAGAGAGAAGAAAAGAGTAGAAGGGGAATTTAAGCGTTGAGAAGAATCGTGCGAGGTTTCTTAACAGCTTAAAACGATGATGTCTGCCTACCGATCGACTTTTATCACTTGCTAGTAGAAAGAAGTAGAAGTAATAGTAGTAATAGTAGTAGTAGTAGTGGGAGTGGCTGTATAAAAGTACAAAGCCTTCTTATTTTCTTCCACTGGATGAACATTGAACACTCATATATATATATGTGTGTATTTATACATATATGTATCTATAAAACTATGTATGTGTAACTATGTGTGCCCTTGTACGTATTCAAACTTCAGTGTCAAGCTTCGCGTATAGGGAACGTACTTTAGAATAAAGGAAGAAAGTTTAAAAAAAAAAAAAAAAAAAAAAAAAGAAAAAAGATATAAATGAGAGAAGTATTAAAATAATAAAATCTTAACTTTCAACGTTTTGTAAAAGGAAGAAACAAAAAGAAGAAGAAATATAAAAAGAAAGTTGGCGCGAGGAATATGAAGCTTCGCGTATTATAACAACCGGACACTCGTTTGAAAACTATCGTTTTGTCGAGATTCACCTTCAGTTTTTTTATTTTACTTTTACTCTCGCTTGCGGGCGATTACACAGCGAGAGAATTGAAAATAATACGTTGCCTCTTCTTCCCCCCTTTCCTGCCCCTTTCCTTTCCTTCCTCAACGTTTCGTAGTTGCGTCTTTGGTGTGTTTGGTATTTGGGTGAAACAAAAATTGTTAAGGGAAGAGAAAGAATTGTTTTTTTTTTTTTTTTTTTAAACAGATACACAAACATATATATATATATATATATATATTGTTGCATTTTAGATAGAAAAAAATATTACCAAAAAAAAAATAATAAGAAGGTTTTTATTTTTATTTTTAATTACTAAAAAAAAGAAATATATTTTCTAAATGATAACGTTAATATAATTAAAATTAAATTAAATACAATTAAATAAAAAATATAAAATTAATAATTTATGGAAAATGTTATATTTATTTCTAATATATGAAATGAAAAAAAAAGAACTTCGAGTGCAAAGGATTAAAAATAACGGTGCATCATAAAATTATGCATAATAACGAAATGAAACATTGTATTTTATTTTAGAATTGAAACTTTCAAAAGAAATCGGATGAAATTTGTGACGATTGTTTAATCTTCGAGTATCTTTCTGCACCGCTAGATCTAACAACGATTCGAGCCAAAACTGTTAGTCGTAATTTTTGCGATTCTGGGTCACGCATATACCTTGCAAAGCTAAAGAGAGAGAGAGAGAGAGAGAGAGAAAGAGAGAGAGAGAGAACAAGAGAAAAACGAAGAGAGAAGACTACGCTTAAATCCCTTCCCAGTTGTTTTCTCTCTCACTCTTTCTCTTTACCGATAGGAGGAAGAAAACAAAGAGGGCTTTTATTAAATCAGTACGCTGATCGCCAGGGAACATGGACAAAAGCTGTGTGTTGCTAGTGTAGCATCAGCTTTGGGAGGATTCTCTTGGTTCTCTCTTGTATTGATACACAACACGGTGACCAACCACACATACGCGTCCCATATTTTCCATTCTATTTTTTTTCTCATATGGTTTTTTTGTTTTTTTGTTAAGGTTAGGGAAACACAGCATTTGTCTATTCTCTTGTTTGCGAAGAAACCCCTTTCCCTTCTTTCTCTGTCTTCTTTGTGTGTAACTGATTATTATTAACATCGTTATTATAAACGAAATCCCCCCCTCCCTCCCTCCCTCCAAAAAAAAGAAATCAAAAGCATGGTCGTTTATTTAAAAGCCCTTTTCGTTACGTTTCTATAAATATTTTCGTTCTTACGATTTTCCCCTTTTTATTACGAGTGGTTCGTTTCTACGGGTTCGTTGATAACGAAAGGGATTGATATTTTTGAAATGAAATCAAATTTATATAATAAATAATAAATAATGAATTTAATTTAAACGCGTTATAAACATTGTATAARTTAAATTAAATCAAAAGGAATATATATATAAATCAAAATTAATTGTGCAAAACGTCATTTTTCAAACAGATTTGAGATCGTACAGTTTTTTTGCAGTCGCTAATTGAAAAAGAAACAAAACTATCATAATCTCTCTCTCTCTCTCTCTCTTTTCTATTATTATCATCTTTTAAAATATGAACAGATGCATAGAGTCGTCGTCATCGTCAAAAGGATCGTTGTCATCTTTGAGGATATATATTTGTTACAAAGAACTTGAAAAATAAAGATAAAGAAATATATAACACACAAAACGATCGAATAAAAGTCGATGGAAACGGATAAAACGAGTAGTAGGGGGTTAGGGTGAAAAAAAAAGAAACAAGAAACGTTTGGCGTGCTTTGTCGGTGTCTCGATATTACATAAAGAGGAAAAGGATCTTGGTCAGGCAAGGGAACGCGAAACGACGGCAAGAAAGGAAGTTTCCTGTGATATTAACGGGGACCAGATGATATAGCTTTCTTTTGAGTATAAAGGTAATAGAGGAAAGAAAGAGAGAAAGAGAAAGATGGGGTGGGTGGTTGGGTTGAAAGGAGAGGGGGAGGGGTTTCTATTTCTTGTTCTTTTTCCTCTTTTTACCAGGACAGTTCGATCTCCCGAGGGAGAAAAAGAATTCTTGGCTACGAGTACTACGATAGCCTTCGCCGAATGAAAGAACGTGCTGGCAGCCCTTCGGTAGTAATAAGAATACAACATGGCTGCCATCAACATGAACCTCCTCGCGCCTCTTCCCTTCCCTTCCCTTCCCTGTTCTGTTCACTTTTCTACTCTTCGTGAGAAAGCTTCGTGATTTTCCCTATCCATAGCCTCGAGCACAACACCACACTAGGATCTCTCCCTTCCTCCCTCCTCTTACTCTTACTCGAAGAAGTCAGAAAAGAAGACGAAGCGATATGCCTAGGTAGATGAAAAGGAGAGCCCGAATTACCAAGACGAGGGATTTCACGGCTCGATAACGTACGCTCGACTTGTTCGTTCGAGATAGGATCGAATCTAGATTTAAATCACGTAGAGGTTCCACCATCCGTTTCATAGTATATATATATATATATATACAAAGATACAGATAGATACAGATAGATAGATAGGTAGATAGATAGATAGATAGATAAATAGATATACACATTGCCCTCGGGAAGCCGATCGTACATCGTCGAGGCTCACGAAACCTTCCAGGAATGTTAGGTTACCTCCTAAAGCTTGCTTTAGCCTTGCAAGGATTGCTAAAAGGAGCGCTAAAGGACGTACTGATAAAAGATAAAGATAGAGAAACATAGATTATTATTCACTGACCAAACCATAGCAAAAAATAAGAAGAAAGAAACAATGAGTATAAATAAACAACAGAAACATCAGCAGCACCAGTACCAACACCAACAGTAACTGTAACAGTAGCAGCAGTAGCAGCAACTGAGGAACAGCAAAGTTAGGAAAGGTGCAAGTGGGCAATAGGTGAGTGAGGGTGTATCTTTCGAGTGGCATTAATAGGTCTTTGTTTCGTCGAAGAGAAGAAGTGTCTGGAGGATGCCCAGGCAGCGCGTCGTCAGCCGTGCGAGTCTATTATTCGAATGTAGAGCAGATATCGGTTGTCGATATGCCATCCAACAGTCTAAATATTCGATCGATACTACCCTTCTGTTCAATCCGTCTTCCTTTACTCTTTTCCCAGTCTTCTCTTTCCCACTCACTTACTCACTAACTCACTCACTCACTGACTAACTCATATACACTCATAATTCCACCTACACTCATTCACATTCTCATAGTAATAGTAATAGTAGTAGTCTTGCGCATCTGCATTCACTGTCTAGCTCTTTCTCTGTTTCCGCACCTGTTAGCAACCCATCCTGTTATCGTGGATGCAACTTTAACTCGCAATAATGAGCATCAGAGCGAGAGAAACGTGGAGTCTAACTATCGAGCAACGATCCTCTCTCTCTCTCTCTCTCTCTCTCTCTTTCTCTCTCTCTCTCTCTCAGGAGAAACGTCGATAATTCTATCCCAAGAGGTTGGAAACACCGATGAGGATATGGGATGATATGTACCTGTAGTATGCTGTACGCGTATTTATGTTGGTATGCATATATTCATTCAACCCACCCTCTTCTATCTACCCTCTTGGAACGTTTGTTTCTCGATCTCTCGTAAGGCTTTCGATAGGTTTCGATCGGGTCTTCGCCGTTGTGTTGGCTTTTAATCTCGGAAAATGAACGTTTACGGGGGGTAGCGTAGCATACGGTTTATAYATGTATGTATGTATGTATGTGTATATATGTAGTAGACTGTTCTTGCATGATGATAATCGACGACAGATTATCGTTTATGGGTGTTTAACCAACGAGCACGTAATCGAAAGATCATGATACAATGGTAGAGATACATTCCGATTATACCGATCACAATTCAAAGATCTATTATTATTACCAAAAGTGGGGGTTGGGTAGCTTTAGCAAAGATCTTTCAAAGAAGAGGATTAATCTATCTATATATATATATATATAGATATAGTTAGACTATAACGTGATAAGTGATACTGACCGTTTTCCACGTAATAGCTGGTCTCATTGTAACGTTCGTCGGTGAATCCTGGCCTCTTCGCTTTCAATGCTTTCGTTTCCAATTTCGCCTGAAACAGAGAAAAGTTCACGATTGATAGATAGTCACGTGTATGTGTGCGCATATATGTGTATATGCACATATGTACATATATGCGAGAGAAGTCAAATAAATGAACGGGGAAAGAAAGGTAAAATAATAAAATCGTTACGATTTTCATTCCAGATAAATCTCGTGAAGGTTAGAGGAAATGTGGAAAGGAAAAGTGGGAGAGGATAAAATCATCGGAATTTTTCTTTTCAACATTTAAAGCAGATTTTTTGATTTCAACTGTCTATATTCGATTAACAACAAAATTGTTAAACCTATCCTCTTTACAAATTCAATTAGAAATCAAACGACGCGACGAATTTATATATCTCGTGAGAAATATATTTGCGTTAGCGAGGGGTAGTAAATGGTTACTAGAGGAGGGGTGAAAATGGGTGTGAAATTGTTTATCTCTCAAATATTTGTCATAGATAGTTAAAATATCCGTTTGCAAGTGAGGATATACACGGGAGTATACAAAAGGGGTAGTATTCAGTATCACCCTTTAGGACAAGTTTAAATCGAGACAAGATGGATAAACAAGAAAAGATGAAGTAACCTATCCCATATTGGATTTGATTTTGGTATAGGAAGAAGAAATCGTCTTCGCGGCATTCGGTGATTCGTCGGAGTTTTGGCTGTATCGACCGGCCATGAAAGTTCCCTCCCTTTTCGACCTCCACCCTCGAACGATATCTCTCCCCTTTTCCCTTTTCTCCTCTCTACTATCTTTCTCTTTCTCTCTCTTGTGCACATCTGACACCAAGCTCCTCCTATACCCTGTCTCGACGCTATCACAGCTTCGAGACGAGGGCTTTTGCTTTCCTCGTCCTGCACGTGCCCACGACGCTGTTGCTGTTATTGATGTGTTTGTGTGTATGTGTGTGTGTCTGTAACTTCTGTAGCTGATATCTTCTTACCGTGCGTTATATTAGTACCCACTTTGGGAATAAGAGGATTCCAGAGGTGTGTTGTAAATTCGTCTCGAGAACGTTCGAGCACTTGGAATCGCATTCCAAAGACCCAAAGAAAGAGAGAGAGAGAGAGAGAGAGAGAGAGAGATCAACTAGGTATCATCTCATAGCTCATCTTACGAACTTACAAATTTAACTCTAAAAGTGGATTTGATATAAGGGCTAACACAGAAGCTTGTAGAAGTTGTCTACCACTGCTACTGTGCTGCAACCAATGCCTGTTGCTGTGCAACCAAATATTATCAATGATTGAGTTGGTCAACTTTAATTGTAAGAGTAAGATGAAATACTTTTGAGATGTGCAATTGTTTTAAATCAAAGTAGGAAAGATGAAAAATGAAAATTCAAGCATCCAATCATATCTTTGACTTCTTTTATTTTTTTTTTTTAATTACTTTATCATAGTCTTTTAGAAATTTTCGTGAAAAAATAAAGATGGATTTAAGAGAGTGGCACCCAAGTTCATCTGTAGTTTTCTTTTACATAAACCCGTCTTTCAAACGATTAACAGACAGGTAAAAGGAAAGAGAAAGAGAAAGAGAGAGAGAGAGAGAGAAGCGTAACGGGGTCCTCCTTACCGAGCGGTACCATCCTCAAGACTTTAACAAGTACCCTAAGCAATTAATTTCGACGGGGATCTCGAGTTAACAGCCGAGCTGGTTGAAACTTCTCCCGGTTACGTTTAAGAAATAAAAAAAAAAAAGAAAAAAAAAAGAACGTAAATGTCGGTGGTGGTTGGTCTACAAATTAGTACTCGACTTCGTTGGAACTAAGGAAAATGAAAAGAAAAAAAAAAGGATATTAACGAGAGAGAAAGAGAAAAGAGTTAGTTTAAGGTTTGAGAATACTTAATTAAATCTTGTTTTAAAAAGAGATAAAAGACTCAAAAGGAAGAAAACGCGGATGGATTAGTTTGGACAAATCCATCGACAAAATCGACCCTCTTTCTCTCTCTCTCTCTCTCCTTTCTTAAATTTTAATTTTTTGAAATAAAATTAAAAAGCATCAGTATCAATTATAACGGACACGTAAATCGTATTTCAAAGGTTAAACATGTAACTGCTGTACTGGTAGTATAGAACACTACATAAACGGGTAGGAGGAGGAGGTAGTGGAGGAGGAGGAGGAGGAGGAGGTGGAGGAGGGGCGTGAACGTTTCTTGCCGGGCGTTTATTTCGTTAATGACGACAGCGGCGCAGATTAATGAGGACGGGCATCTCGTGGTACCGTTGTCGAGAGCAAAAGCTCGTCGTTGCTGCTGCTGCTGCTGCTTGCCACGTACGTCAAATATCGACGAGAGCGACCAAAATACACGTTTAGTTTTCTCTCTCTTTCTCTTTCTCTCTCTCTTTGTACAGTACGATCCATTCCAAACCTGTTACGTACGTTTTATCGTCTATCCACGTGCTACTACCGTTCTGTGTGATGCCGTTCCTGGCATCACGAGTACTCCTGACTCCAAAATAGGTACGCTTTTATTCTAGGACAAATTCGTCTATTTGAAACTATCAAATAGAATGAATAAAAAAGAAGAAATATCGAATCATTTCAAGTGAATTTTTATTATTAACGACAAGTTTCTATTAGTGTACATTTTCAAAAAAAGATTTGACAATGTATAAATCATGTGTTTGAGTTTTTAGAATCCTTCAGTATAATCGTTCAACAGACAGATTGATAGATACATGAAGAAAGAAAGATGAAATCAATTTAGTCATTTTTATTATTAATGACAAACTTATATCATTATATGATTGTAAAAACATTGACAATGTATAATAACTCATGTTTAATAGATGAAATCAATTTAGTAATTTTTTTTATTATTAATGACAAACTTATAATATATCATGATCCAATTATTTGAAAAAATATTAACAATGATTTTAAACTCACGTTTAAGTTTTTAGAATTCAGCAGAGTGTATAATCGTTCAATAAACAAATAGATGGATAGATAGATAGTTAAATAAATAGAGAAAGTTGAAATCAATTGAATGATATTTGTTATTGATGAACTTTTAGTATAGTCCAGTTCCAATATGTGGGCTAAACGTATTAGGTATGTTTTTGTTAGAGAGATCTATTGGAATGGTCGTCGTCGTCGTCGTCGTCGTCGTCGTTGTCGTGTCGTAGTGTTATATTCCAACAATGTGTGTAGGTGTGTGTGTGTGTGTGTATACACAGAGATCTGGGCTATGTCGTGTAGACTACGATTTGTGTTTGCCTAGCGCGAGTGACGTTATACTGAAAGCTTTGGCGCTCGGCACTAGCCCGTTACCCCATTACAAAAGCCTCGTGTCTCGCACGGTATGCGAGCATTAAGGCTATTACGCAAGAGGAACGTCTTTCACGCTATTATACACGATGATATCATAGACTTGATTTTACACCAATCCGATTAGTCTAATTTTTCTACTTGTTTTTTTCTTTCTATTTTATTTATTATTTTTTTTGGGGGGGGGAGGTGGTAATGGAAGAAACAATTGTAATTGGAAGTTCAAAAAGAAAGGATAAGGGGTTTATATTATTGGGTTGTCCGGAAAGTTCGTGCCGATTTTTGATAAATGGAATTAAAGTTCTTTTGCTAAAAAAAAAAAAAACCTGAAAAGTTCTGGAAGCACGCAATTTTGAAGTTATCATTTTATTATATTTATTATTATAATAATTGCTGATTTCACCAATCATTTTCATTGAAAAATCCGCAATTACTTAGTTGCCAACCAAATATATTTATATAATTATTAATATATCCATATATAGTTATATTTATTATTTAATAAATATATAACAAAAACAAAAAACTTAAATGAGTTGCATTTCAATCTTCCATTAAAATCGGCACGAACTTTCCAAACAATCCAATAATAATCCTTAATCTTTCAATTAGAATTAGAATTATATTGGGCTGGCAAGAAAGTAATTTTAACTTGCACCAATAATTAGCGTTATGTTTGTTTCGTTATTCTTTTGTTAATGTTAGAATTTTGTTCTTTTGAGGGGTTTTGGTAGTTGACACTTTTAGGTTGCTATAGAAACAAATTCCGTGTAATTTTGTTTACAACTGTTAGTTTACGGTTAATTTCATATTAGAAAACCGAAATTACTTTCTTGCCAATCAAATATCAGTGATATTCACCTTTTTCAAATCCTTGCTAGCATCGGCTTCCTCGGCTTTTCTTTTTTCTGTAACCTTTGATGCGGGCAGTGGTATCGTTGGTTCGCGAAGGGGCTTCAAATCGATCTGTAATAATAAATATTACTGTATAAATATAATGTTAATATGTGTTTCTTTATATCATTACATCAAATTGTTACAAGGGATGATCATTGCTATAAATTATCGACAGTATATATACATATGATTTTTTTCCTAATATAATGACTTCGTCACAATTGGCCGAACGTCAGGAACGATCGAATTGGCAAGGTTTGCCAGGAGAGTTCAACCAGGTGTTAATAAAATGTTTATTTTTACATTACAGTATCGTTGTCGTTGTCGTTGTCGTTGTCGTTGTCGTCGGGTACCCGTCGACAAGTTTTATTGAACGATATAAATTATTGATGAGCCTATAATGCGTTGATTTAAATACAACATGACAACATTTAAATAAAGAATTTTTTATATAACAAAGTTTAATACCACAACGTAAACTAAAAATAAAAACGATGGATGTTCAACGTTTTATTAACTTGATTTTTATTTGAAAACAAATATAATCTTCAAACACCTTTACCAAACTTAATCTATCTCATCCTAATAAAGATTAGATTTCGGAGAGAGATCCAATTATGAAATGGATAGACAGACAGACAGACAAATAGACAGACAGGAAGAAATATAATAATAATAGTAATAATAATAATAATAATATATTTAAAAGCGTGTGTAGAAAGTTAACGAAATGAACAGTCGATCGAAGTTGATGTGGCATTCACGAGGAACAATTCTGTTCGTAGGTTTCGTACGTTAGGGTTCGTTTGTTCGTTCGTTCGTTCGTTCGTTCCTCCTCCGACAATTATTTCTTCGACTGCGATTTCAGAGTGTTGTTAGTGGTGGTGTTCGGTGCGAATGAGGCCTCACGGTCGCTAGGGTCGCCCCTGACAACGCCCTTGCCTGCATTGCGGTGCTCTCTCTTTCCACCCTACGCTCCAACTCTCTACCTTCTACCAGTATATCCTACCCCCCATAACCAAACGAGCCCCGGCTCGTCAAGAAATGCCGTACACCATGAAAAGAGCAAGAAACGCGACTTAGCCCTTCGACCTACGAACTTCACTACTATCCCCAATGAATGAGTGAGTGGGTGTGTGGGTCTGTAAGAGAGAGAGAGAGAGAGAGAGAGAGAGAGAGAGAGAAACCAACCGACAAACCCTTCTTCGACCACCAAGAGGAACACACGTTCCTTCCAAAATCAATACCCCCATTGTATTCCTCAAAGAATGAAAGAAATAGAAAGGAAAGAGAGAGAGAGAGGGAGAGAGAGAGAGAGAGAGAGAGAGAGAGAGAGAGAGAGAGGGAGTCCTTTTGTTGTCCTGCTATTCCACATTTTTTTCTTATTCTTTTTTGTTCTTTTTTATTTGCTTATTTTTAGATATACGAGCAAAACCTTTAAAGGGTCGGACACTTAAAAAATATGAATAGTGTTATTTTATTTTAGCACCAGAAGATAATAGGTAGGGTTGTTCCTTTTGTTTGTTTGATTGCTCTATTTTTATTTAACCCTCTGTGTACTACCTTTTAATAATTTTTTTTTATATAGTTACTCACATTCGTATTTTGATGTATTATAATTTTTATTATATTATATTATAAATATATATATGTATATTATATATGATTATAAATTAATTATGCTAAATAATTATTTAATTTATCGTTTTCTGTTTTAACCCTCCGTGTAGTACATTTTAATAATTTTTTTTTGTATATAGTTCTAAATTTTGTTATATAGTTTTATTTTTATATTTGTACTTCTATATATTTTTATTTTATATTATGTATAATATAATTTTAAATCAACTATAGTAAATAATAATTGAATTTATTGTTTCCTTAGATAGATCAATGAAGTATTCCTAAAGTGTCATCGTTTATTATGAACAATATACGAGTACGTTTCTTTATAAAATACTTCTTATTTTTTCTTTTTCTCTCTCTATCTCTCTCTCTCTTTTTTTTTAATTCATATTTTTTGCAAAAGCATAAAATGACGCAAAAATTGAGAGCACCGATATCTACGGCATTGTCCACGCGAGATTAACGACGTTTCATTCGTACCTTCGACACGTTCCTAGCCTATGATAAATGGTCGGTGAACGCGTTTGGACAATAATTGTCATCGTTTCAGCTGGAAACTACTGCGTTCAATCAGATCGATTATTATCATCATCGTCGTCGTTGTCGTCGTTGTCGTCGTTGTCGTAGTTCTCGAACATCATATCACATCACTATAGTTTTCATTTTACATGAAAATTTCTCTAAGCACGCACGAGTACGCGAAAATGCACGTGAAAAATTTTCACTCTCCGTGCGCTATAAAAAAAGAAAAAGAAAAAAAAAACGATTAATCATCTTTTTGAAGTGAAAACTTCTTTAGAATCAGGGTGATTTGAAAATTGTGAAACGGAAGAACGTGAAACCGATGAAACAAAAATAATTAATTAATTAATAAAAAATTCTATATATAAAATTTCAGTGTCACAATATGTTTGTCCACTAATAATTTTTTCCAATTTAGCACATAGCACAATTTTTATCGCGATTTTTTTTAATTATTTTTTATTATTTTTTATTACTAATTTAAAGATTTGTATTTAAAGGTTATCTAGGTTTTGTAAGGTTTTTTTTAATAGATGGCACTGTATTACAATTCAATTGTTTCGATCTATTCACGTCTCGAAATTTGGTTTTCTTTGAAGGTTTCAACTTCTACCGTGTGTGATCTGCACACATAGGTTTTTTTTTTTTTCATTAATTGTATTCTCCATTAATTGGTTATTTTTTTTTTTTTTTGAAAGAATTGAAAGATTGAAAGTAATTTTCTCAAAAGGATTTGAAACGATATAACCTCGTTAAGAAGTTTTCTGTTGAAACTCAAAGGACAAGTGTTTCACTATGTGTTTGGAAAATAAAATAAGAATGAAGAAAGAAAAAAAAGGGAATAAAAGGTAAAAGGGTTAGGAAGAAAAAAAAGGAAGAGGAATAGAAGAAGAAGAAAAAAAAATAAAAAAAATAAAAATGATGTAACATCCTTTAAAGCTTTTAACCGAATAAACTCTTGATCAAAAGTGAATGTGATTTATCTTCTTGATCTTAAACTTCTCCTACTAAACTGGAATATATATTCTGGTTGAAATGACTGAAACAATTCGTAAAAAAAAAAAATAATAATAATACTAAATTATTATAATAATTTTTAATCCAAACTGTGACATATAAAAGTACATGGATCGTTTTATGCGAATAATACTTTCCGTTCAACCTAACTAGAACTACTTCACTATACTCATTTTTCATTGAAAAAAACAAACAAAATCAAGTAATTGTAGTTTAAAAATAAATGAGAGTTTATCTCATTTAATTTTGATTAAAAATAATATCATTAATCATCTTTCGTCGTACAAAAAAAAAAAAAAATTAACTCTTTTCTTGTTCATCCTGCTATAAAAGAAAACAAGGAAAAAAAGAAAAACCGTTTACAGTTAATGGCACACAGATGATATTTTCGTCGTAGTTTTAGCATGATCGTTCACTTTTCACGTTACTTTTCGTTTTAAAAGTTCTACGATAAGAATTAAAAAAAAAAAAAGAAAAAAAAGGAAAGAAAAAAAACTGTGTAACTTTTAGAGAGAAATAACAACGTGAAGAGATTCCCGCCAATAATAAGATGGCGAAAAATACTACGCTCCGTTGGCCCGAAAATAACGGATACGGTAAACGATGTGTTAATGGAGCAGAATTAATTTGCAAAATTTTCATCCCGTCGAGGAATATATATATTTTTTTATAAGTCACTTAAATGTAACATTAATCGATATATTATTGACAAATAAAATAATCTACAACATATAACAAAAAATTATAATATAAATTTTAATAATTATTAATTATTAATTTAATTGTAATATTAGAAAATTATTATAATATTATTATTATTATTAATTATTAATTAATTCGATGAGTCTCATATATTATTTCATTTGTTGATTATAAAAATATCTTTTGTAATTAAATCTGATCAAAGTTAAATGAAAACGAATATTAACACCCTTTGGTAACATTTGACGTATCAATACGTCATACATTTGTTTGAGCAAAGATTTACATGACGTACTGATACGTCATTGAAACTCAAATGAGATTTAACTTTAGTTCATTCTATGATTTATTTCAAAGTATATTAATGTGTGTAATTTTTATATTATTAATAATATTTCAAAGTCATTTTCAAACAAAATGTATACTCAAAGGATTAAAACCTTACTAACTTAAAACAAAACAAGAAAAAGAAAGCAGGGAAAAGAGAAAGAGAAGAAAGTAGTAGTAATAGTAATAGTAATAGTCGTAGTAGTAGTAGTAGTAGTAGTAGTAGTAGTAGTGTACGTTTCGGTCATTTTTCATGTCAGACTTCATCATCCATCCGTATCGGAATTCCAAGTAATTTGCAGTAAAACGAGCGTAGGACACGACGATCCTTTAGCACACAGAAAAGAGGAAAATGTATTCTTATATGCTTGAAATGAGAGAAGAAGAAGAAGAAGAAGAAGAAGAAAAAGCACCAAAAAAAAAAAATCAAAAAAAAAAAAAAGAAAAAGGGACACGAGGAAAGGGAGAGTATGAACAAACGAGTGTGAGAAAGAAAAAAACCAAAACTAAAAAATAAAAACAGAAAAAAAGAAGAAAAAGGGACACTAAGAAAGGGAGAGTATAAACGAGTGTAAAAGAGAAAAAAAAAAGAAAAAAAACCAAAAAAANAAAAAAAAAAAAAAAAGAAAATACGAAACGTCAACATTTCGGTACGTTGTCGTCTTGTTTCGTTAGGAACACGGAATACCTCATTTCCTAATGGGCCAAGCCGACTACTACTACTCATCCAAACGATTCTTCATATTCTTTCTTTCTTTCTTTCTCTTTTCCACCCTTTTTCGTATCCCTTCGTGCCATCATCATCCTCGTTCAACGAGGCAAAACTTCTTTTGTAATTAAATGCCAGAAACGAGCCACGCGTGAAAGAGCAAAAC